ATAACAAAGAACTCATTACAAAAATAAACCCTATCGGAACCACAGCTAGATTCATGATTATACTCTCCATTATAAGTACCATAGCTCTTATTGCCCTTAACACTAAACTACACCTTTCAAAAGTCACTTACAACACAACTGAAGAACTGAATTACAACACAATTATTATTAAAAAAATGAGTTCACCCGCCTATTATGATTACTCTGAAAAAATTGAGTTCAACATTGAAAAATCTTCTGCTGACATCCCTTACCTCAATATAAAAAAGAAGGCAATGGGCCTTCACAGTAATAAGATAAACAGTAGAAAAGTGTATGATTTCGAAATCAAAGATTCCATTGTTTCACTCTCTCCTACCTTGAACTTTAATAAGAACTTTTTCAAGGAACAAGAGATAGAGGTTACTCTTTTTATTCCAAACAATGACTCGACCATTATCATCAACGAATTTAACTAAAGCAGGGTAAATCGAGCAGGTGTTTTCTAGTTGTTCAATCTTTGGTTTTTTTCTATCTTTGTGACAATCCCATAGGGAGAAAAACTGATAGATAAGATTGAATGGATACAGCAGAAGCAACAACAAAGACAGAGGTAACTTTTGAAGATTTTAAGAATGAAGTTCTAGAAGATTACAGACTTGCTCGAGTAAGTAGAGAACTTTCTTTGTTAGGACGAAGGGAAGTACTTACTGGAAAAGCTAAATTTGGGATTTTTGGTGATGGAAAAGAAATTCCTCAAATTGCACTTGCTAAGCAGTTCAAAAATGGGGATTTCAGATCGGGGTATTACCGTGACCAAACTTTGATGATGGCCATAGGTCAGATGACTCCTAAAAATTTCTTTGCTGGGTTATACGCTGATACCAATCAAGAGAATGAGCCTTTTTCTGCTGGAAGGCAGATGGGAGGACACTTTTCAACTCAATCTTTAAATGCTGATGGAAGTTGGAAACGATTGACTGATCAGAAAAACTCCTCTGCTGATATTTCACCTACAGCTGGTCAAATGCCTAGACTATTAGGGTTAGCACTAGCTTCAAAAAAATTCAGAGAAAACGAGAACCTGTCTGATTTCAATGAGTTTTCTATCAGTGGAAATGAAGTCGCTTTTGGAACTATTGGTGATGCTAGTACCTCTGAAGGGTTATTTTTTGAAACAATGAATGCTGCAGGTGTTCTTCAAGTACCTATGGTAATGAGTGTATGGGACGATGGACATGGAATTTCAGTTCCTAAAAAATACCAAACGACCAAAGAGAATATTTCAGAATTATTAGCTGGTTTTCAAGAAACTGAAGAAAAATCTGGATTTAAAATTTACAAAGTTAAAGGATGGGATTACCCTGGATTGTGTAGAACTTATCAAGAAGCCGTAGCGCATGCTAGAGAAAATCATGTCCCTGTATTAGTCCATGTAGAAGAAGTAACACAGCCTCAAGGTCATTCTACTTCAGGATCGCATGAACGTTACAAATCTCAAGAAAGATTAGCCTGGGAAGTTGAATACGATGGAATCAATCAATTTCGCAAGTGGATCTTGGATTATAAAAAAGAATACAAGGAAGAAATTGCCTCAGAAGAAGAACTAGATACTATTGACAAAGAAGCTAAAAAATTAGTCCGTGATACTAAAAAAGAAGCTTGGTCAGATTTTTTAACTCCTTACGTTGAAGAACAAAAATTAGTAGTAGAATTAATTAGCCAGATAGCTACAGCTAGCACTAATAAAGCTTTTATTGAAAAAATCGCTAATGAGTTAAGCGCTATCACTGAACCAGGAAGAAAAGACATTGTTTCTGCAGCTAAGAAAACTATTCGATTAACTCTAAACGAATCATGTGACCATAAATTACAGCTCATAGCTTGGTTAGACAAAAGTAGTCTAGAAAATGAAGATCGATACAGTTCTTACCTCTTACCAAATAATTCGAGAAGTGCTTTGAATATCGAGCCTATTGCTCCAACTTACGAAGGAGAAAATCCAGCTGATGGGCGATTGATTTTGAGAGACAATTTCGATAAACAATTTGAAAACAATCCTCTTATCTTCACTTTTGGAGAAGATACCGGAAAAATTGGTGGAGTAAACCAAAGTATGGAGGGAATGCAAGAAAAATTTGGAGAAAGCAGGGTTTCAGATACTGGAATTCGAGAAGCAACCATTATTGGACAAGGAATAGGAATGGCCATGAGAGGATTGAGACCTATCGCTGAAATCCAATATTTAGATTACCTTCTTTATGGAATTCAAATATTAAGTGATGACTTAGCTACTCTTCATTATCGAACTAAAGGTACCCAAAAAGCTCCCTTAATAGTTAGAACAAGAGGTCATAGACTAGAAGGTGTTTGGCATTCTGGTTCTCCGATGGGAATGATCATTAACTCACTAAGAGGAATGCATGTATGTGTCCCTAGAAATATGACAGTTGCTGCTGGATTCTATAATACATTACTAGAAAGTGACGACCCCGCTTTAGTCATTGAGTGTTTAAATGGATACCGATCAAAAGAAAACATGCCTACTAACTTGGGAGAATTCAAAATTCCTTTAGGAATTCCTGAGATAACTAGAGAAGGAACTGACATCACTTTGGTTTCTTATGGATCTACATTCAATATTTGCTCAGAAGTCGCTAAACAACTTTCTGAAGTTGATATTTCAGTCGAATTAGTGGACGTACAAACTTTACTTCCTTTTGACATTAATCACCAAATTGTAGAATCTATTAAAAAAACTAATCGAGTGATTTTTGTAGATGAAGATGTACCAGGAGGTGCTACTGCTTATATGTTGGATAAAGTAATGGTAGAACAGGAAGCTTATCAATATCTTGATTCTAAGCCAGTCACTCTTGCCTCTAAAGCACATAGACCTGCATACGGAAGTGATGGAGACTATTTTTCTAAACCAAATTCAGAGTCTATATTTGAAGCTATTTACACAATAATGAATGAAGCAAACCCTGCTAAATATCCCCAGCTGTATTAATCTTAATTCTTCATCAATGGTTTCTGTACTTAAATGAAGCCTAACAGAGAATTTAAAGATAAATCAGCTTAATTTAGTTGAGTTTTAATTTTACAACAAACAACATCGAACTTATGAAACATTTAAATACAATCTTCTTATCAGTATTTCTATTCACATTAAGCTTTGCTGCATTTTCTCAAATTGAGGAAAGAAAACCAGTGGCAAAGGCTCCATTCAAACATAACAAAAACTCTAAACATGCTTTGGGATTAGCTGCTGGAGGAACAACTGGTTTTGGATTGTCTTATTTATATATGCCAGACAGACTTTGTTTTCAGGTTGCTTTTTTGCCTTATAAGGATCAATATTCAACTTTTATCAGTACTGGATTAACCTTCATTTACAGATTAAGAGAAGGTGAAAAACTTAATTTTTTACTCTATCAAGGGAATCACTTTATTTCTCGCACAGAAACTAATTATACCTATAACCCTACTACCAGTAGTTCTGTTGCTGGAGGAAAAACTACAACTAGTGGATTTAACAACGGAGTTGGACTAGGTTTTGAATTCTTTCTTTCAGAAAATGTTGCTTTTAATTTGATGGGAGGCTATGCTGGTTATAATAACTTCGAACGAATCACTATCACTGGAGAAGGAGCTTTATTCTATAAGTTCTAATTAAACACATATTTACCTCCTTTTACCTCCACATTAGGTGGAACTTTATTTTTTTGAAAAAAGGAATACCCTTCATTTAAATTGCTCCAAAACGAATACGTTTTTAGAACTTTTACCTTGGGGTTATTCATAACTGTTGGAGTAAACTTAAATGGAAAAATGTGAATTCTTACAAACGGCTGACCATGCTCAAGGGCTGATTCTAATAGAGTATATATTTCATCGATATTTTCATCTCCCATTGCATAACAACCAATAGACACACATTTACCGTGTACCATTAGAGCAGATCCTGTATACCCTTTTTGCCTTTCATATTTATTTGGATACCCAATATTAAAGGACAAATGATACTTACTATAAGGATTTAACTGAGCTGGTTTTACAAAATAAAACCCTTCAGGACTTTTTCCATCACCTTGTCTTTTTTTCGTTCCTAACCCTCCTGAGAAATAACAAATCTCGTATGTTTTGAAAAGGCTATACTTTCCCTTTTTTTTTACCCAAACCTGAAATTCTTTTTCTTTTTTAAAAACCCTAAAATATAATTCGTTCCCCCATGTTAATCCTTGATCTTTGAATTCTTTTTGTAAAATTGGTTTTTGTTTCTTGATTACCTTTTTAGATTTAGCACTTTTGGGAATCTTTATCGAAGTTGTAGATAAACTCATCAGAGCAAGTATGCTAAAAACTAGCAGACGTTTAGATCGTAATATTTTTCTATTTAAATGAGGCATAATACCATTATCGAAAATAAATAACATTTCCTTTACAACAGTCATATGATATAATTATTATACTTGTATAGTATTAATTTAAAATCAACACTAAATGTTAGACGATATTATCAATAATTTAAAAGGTGAATTGGGAGGTGATTTAATGGAGAAATTCGGATTAAATTCAAGCCAAAAAGACCAAGCCTTAGACATTACTAAGGAAACCCTTTCAGAAACTATTCAAAAAGAAACTGTTGGTGGAGGGCTTTCAGGAATCATGAACTTATTTTCATCCAATGACAATGATGAGGAAGGAAACTCAATGCTTGAAAGTATTGGTGGAGCATTGTCTTCTCAATTTTCTTCGAAATTAGGAGTTGACTCAGAAAAATCAAGTGGCATCACTTCTATGATTATGGAAAAAGTAACTAGTCTTTTTGGAGATAAACTTGGAAGTAATTTTGAAATCAGTGACTTATTAGGAATGATTGGAGGAGATAACAAAGGAGGAATTGGAGGAATGCTAGGAAAGATTGGAGGCATGTTTGGAAAATAAGAAGGATAGCACCTACAAAAAAAGCCTCTTAAAGTAAATTTAAGAGGCTTTTTTTATTCCGTTAATTGCGGTTAAACATTAAATCTAAAATGCATAATATCTCCATCTTCCACCACATAATCTTTTCCTTCCACCCCCATTTTACCGGCTTCTTTTACTTTAGATTCAGAACCATATTCTATGAAATTGTCATATTTAATTACTTCCGCTCGGATGAATCCTTTTTCAAAATCAGTATGAATAACTCCAGCTGCTTGGGGAGCAGTCATTCCAGCAGTAATAGTCCAAGCTCTTACCTCCTTAACTCCAGCGGTGAAGTATGTACTCAAGTTTAATAATTTATAAGCACTCGTGATTAATTTATTCACTCCAGGTTCCTCCAATCCCATGTCTGTCAAAAACTCTTGGCGATCTTCATACGATTCTAATTCATTAATGTCAGCTTCTATAGCTGCACCTAAGAAAAGAACTTCCGCGTTTTCTGCTTTTACTGCTTCCTTTACTTGTTCAACATATTTATTTCCTGTAGAAACCGAACCTTCATCTACGTTACATAAATAAAGTACTGGTTTGGTCGTTAGCAATTGTAATTCTTTTACAAATTTCACCTCATCTTCAGCTTCTACAATGACCTCTCTTGCCGATTTACCCGCTTCCAATTTACTCTTCATCTCAGTCAAAATTTCATTTTGCCTAACTGCTTTTTTATCCCCTGTTCCTGCAGCACGTGAAATTGTTTTTATCTTATTTTCTACTGCCTCAAGATCTTTCAATTGTAATTCTATATCAATTACTTCCTTATCCCTCACTGGGTCTACGTTTCCATCTACATGCACAATGTTATCGTCATCAAAACACCTTAATACGTGAATAATAGCATCTGTTTCTCTAATGTTAGCCAAAAATTGATTCCCTAACCCCTCTCCTTTACTTGCTCCTTTAACTAACCCGGCAATGTCTACTATTTCTATTGTAGTAGGCATAACCCTTTCAGGATTGACTAATTTCTCTAGCTCAGTAAGGCGATTATCTGGTACAGAAATAGTTCCTAAGTTAGGTTCTATTGTACAAAAAGGAAAGTTTGCTGATTGAGCTTTCGCATTTGACAAACAATTAAATAAAGTAGATTTTCCTACGTTGGGCAAGCCAACTATTCCGCATTTTAATGCCATGGTTTCAAAATTTTTACGAAAATAAGATTTTTTGAAGAGATAATCGAGATTACCTAAGAGAATAAAAGTGGTTTCTTTCAAACATTAAAGAAATTAAAAAAGGATGGAATTCTTTCAAAAACCATCCTTCTTTTACTTTCTATCTGATCAACTTAGATACTAGTTGTATCTTTCACCGCTTGTCTTTCACATCGATCGCATAGATCTGTAATACTTTTTAGTTCTCTAGCGTCCGCAACTGTTCCTTCAAAAATTTCATTCGTTCTATCTCCATTAATATAACCACAAGAACTATACAAATGATAACTCTTTCCCGACTTAGTCCAGAATACATTATTAAGGCCTCCATTTAAAGCCTCAACTTGCTTAGTTTGCTCAGTGTATTGTTCCACTGAAGGCGGATTGAAATCGATTCCTGTGCCTACAGCTATTAACAAAGCTGCTCCAGCTATTCCTCCTAAAATACCTTTTTGCTTTCCGTCTATGTTCTTGTTTGTTAAAATAAGAATTACCAATGGCAAAAATGCGACAGCACTCATAATAGCTCCTAACTGATTTTGAACAAAAAATTTAAACTTATCCTTCTCTGAAGCAGGATCTAGTCTATTCGCCTTTTTCCATAATAAATTTCCAACCACAGCTAAAATTAATGCAGCCACAATTAACACAATTAACCAAGTCATAGTAGGTTCCTCAGCCTGTAACTTTATAATCCCCCATACTTCAAAACCTATGGCTAAGATCCATCCAATAATGGCTATTGCCCTAAAGGTTGTAGCTTTTGATTTATTATCTGCTGTGGGAACGAAAGATTCATTAGCAGAATCGGGACTAGAGGTACCTTTTACTTTTGTGATTTTTTTTGCTGCCATAATAGTTTTATTTAAAGGTTTTTAAAACACACCCAGTTCCAATCCTTAATTTTAAAGAGAATTGGGTTCTATCAAAGATAAAAAAAATGCAGGAATCTGGAACTTGGGAAAAAGAATACCCAAAATTCTGCCTACCTTTAAACTCCAAAACCAAGTTATGATTACACTCTTCAAAAACATCAAACAGCTTACCGGAATACAAACTGATTCTACTAAACTAAAATTAGCAGGAAAAGAAATGTCCACGTTAACTTCCATTGAGAATGCCTTTTTATTGGTTGAAAATGACCTCATAAAAGACTTTGGAGAAATGACTAATCTCCCCACTGTTTCAGTGGATCAGACAGTTGATCTCTCTGGAAAAATAGTGTTACCAGCTTGGTGTGATTCTCACACTCATTTAGTATTTGCCGGGACTCGTGAAACTGAATTTGTAGACAGAATCAATGGGTTGACGTACGAAGAAATAGCTGCTAGAGGTGGAGGAATTCTTAATTCAGCCAAGAGACTTCAGAATGCTACTGAAGAGGAATTGTTTCAATCAGCATGGGCTAGGTTAGATGAGATAAAAAGTATGGGAACTGGAGCTGTGGAAATCAAGAGTGGATATGGTTTGTCTTTGGAAGCAGAGCTCAAAATCTTAAGAGTAATTAAACGATTAAAAGCTGAATCTGAATTAACCATCAAAGCGACATTTTTAGGTGCTCATGCAGTACCTCCAGAATTTAAAGGAAATAAAAAAGGATATTTAGATATGCTCATTAACGAGGTACTGCCTATAGTTCATGAAGAAAATCTAGCTGATTACATCGATATCTTTTGTGAAACTAACTATTTCACTGTGGATGACGCTGAGAGAATTATGGAAGCAGGGGCTAAATACGGCCTAACACCTAAAATTCACGTCAATCAATTTACAAGCATCGGAGGAATTCAGGTGGGCATCAAACATAAAGCTCTCTCACTGGATCATTTAGAAGTAATGACCCAACAAGATATTGCAGATTTACAGGAATCAGAGACCATGCCTACCGCTTTACCTTCTTGTTCTTTTTTCTTAAAAATCCCTTTTGCTCCCGTTCGGAAAATGATTGATCAAGGACTAGCTATTGCCCTTGCCACTGACTATAATCCAGGCTCTACTCCTTCAGGAAAAATTCCTTTTGTCATTTCTCTAGCTTGTATTTACCAACGATTAACCCCTGAAGAAGCAATAAATGCAGTTACTCTTAATTCTGCTTATGCTATGGGTATAAGTGATACACATGGATCCATTACCGTAGGTAAAAAAGCTAATTTGATTATTACTAAAGAGATTTCTAGCTATAATTTTATTCCCTACTCTTTTGGAGGCAATCACATTGAACAAGTAATATTAAATGGGGGTAGTAGATCAATTAATCCCTAACCAACTTTAACAAATTCATCCCAAACAGGATCTTTAGGTGGAAAAGCTACCACTTTTAAAGGTTCTTTTTTCACTGGGTGAATAAACTCTATGGCTCTTGCGTGTAGATGGATAGAACCATCCGGATTAGACCGTTTAGCCCCATATTTTAAATCTCCTTTTATTGGACAACCGATGAAACTTAATTGGGTCCTTATTTGATGATGTCTCCCGGTTTTAGGATCTATTTCTAATAAAAAATAGCGATTAGTCTTCCCTTTTAATTGATACGATAGAATAGATTCTTTGGAACCATCTCCTATACTTTTATGATAAGCATAAGATTTATTCTGTTGCGTATTTCTTTTCAACCAATGAGTGAGAGTCTGCTCAACATTTGGGGGTTCATTTTGAGTAACTGCCCAATAGGTTTTATTGATTTTTTTTTCTTGAAAAAGTTTATTTAACCGAGTAAGTGCTTTACTAGTTCTTGCAAATATCACCACACCAGATGTCGGACGATCAATTCGGTGTGCCACCCCTAAATATACCTCTCCAGGCTTATTATATTTTACTTTGATGTATTCTTTCACCATATCAACCAAGGGCTTATCCCCAGTTTTATCACCCTGAACCAAATCTCCAGCCCTCTTATTGATGGCTATGAGATGGTTATCTTCATATAAGATGGTTAAATTCATTGAAAAGTATATCTACCACAAAGGTAAACATAATGTAGAGTTTATCAAGGGTTGAAAAGTTAAACAACTATTTCATCACCTTGATAATGAGTATTTCTATAGCAATGAAAAGCAAAGCTAACAGAACAAACAATTTCCACCATTTAAAATCATCTTTTAAATTGAGCGAAGAGGAAGCCGAATTATGCTTTGAATTAAGAGCCTCAATCACTACCGCATTTCCTACCATAGAAGTTAATTCTTCTGCTGAATATGAATCAAAATCCGATTCTAGTCTATCATAATTTAACCCAAACCCACCAATCTTATTTCCTTTACTTTCAACTGAATAATTTTCAGCCACAGCTATTTCCTCAGGAAGAAATAGTTTAATCTTTCCTCTCATTCTCTGAACTTCAGGAATTACCTCAATGCTTAATTGTTCATTCAAAATCCGAAGGGCTTCTAATTCATAATTTTTGTCCTTAAGCTCAATACTCTTAGTTGAAATCAACTCACTTACAGCTTGTTTCACCCCACTATTTTCAGCAATACGCAATAAAGAAGTAACAAAAATCGAATGACTAGATAAATTACTAAAAGATTTATCTAGAGGAACAGTAAAAATATAAGCATTCCCATTCTTATAATTAAACTTAGCTAAAAACTCATTTCCTGATTGAAGCTTCATTAATTTCTCCACTCTTGATCGAGAAGAAATCGAAAATTTATATGAACTGGCTACAGCAGGTAAATCGATGTTCTTTGGAATTTTTTCAAAAACATCAGTAAACAAAGGATGTTCAAAATTAAGGGAATTCACTTTTGTATTACTGGTATCTTTATTCATAAATCTTCCAGCATTAATTGCTAGCAAAAACTCATTGACAGAAGTTAATTTCACTTTTGTTCCTGGAAAAAACACAACGGTTCCTCCAGCCTCCATATAAGTCAACAATTCTGATATCAACCCTGAAGAAAATCCATTCAACTCGTTTATTATAATAAGCTTAGATTGAGGGAATTCTGAAAAATCAATGGACTTAGCCGACAGGTTTTTTACTTTAAAAAACTCGTCATTTTTGAATAATTGATTGATGCTACCTGAAGTATTATCGAGGTAAACTCCTTCTCTATTAAGCACTAATATTTGAGTTGAATCTTCCAACAAATACGAAAAATAAAAGTCGTCATCAAAAGTAGAAACAGGGTTAGGATATTCTGAAATTCTCAACTTAGCCCTCACGAGTCCAGTCTCCGTTACTTGATAATTAAGTTGAACTTCAGAAGTTGAATTTGCTTTTATGTCTTGATTAATAAATCCTTCTGGCTTTTCATTAATAATTAATTCCACCTTCACCTGAATATCTTCAGAAGAATTATTGACAAGCATTGAATTTAAAACCTCTTTCTTATTGGCTACCCTAATAGGTGAGTCAAACCATACTGTATCAATAAATACATTATCGGTCTGCTCTGGACTTAAATGAACAAAATTGGTCAGTATTGAAGAGTCATTCCTCAAATTTTCTATATCACTCGTGGATTTCTGAAAATCTGAAATGTAGTACCCAATTCTATTGGGAGTATATTCTCCGTTTAAAAAATCTAATTGTTTTTGCTCTATCTGCGTAAGCTTCCGTGTGAAAGAGGTAAGCTCGATCTCCTGAACCATGTTCAAAAACTCCTTTTGAGTTAGAAAACGCTGATGTTTAGATTCAAAATTATTTGTGATTAACTGATATTTGTCACTTTGTTTATATCCTTTTGCTATCAATTCTGCTTGCTGCTTAGCCTGATCCAACAAAGAAAATTCTTGAACTATATTACTCATACTGAAAGAATTATCTATGTACACAGAAACATATTTTTCTCCTTGTGAATTGAGTTTGGTTTGACTTGGAAAATAGGGTTGAGCAAAAGCTAATACTAGAGCGGTGATAGTCAAAATTCGCATCAACAGAATTAACAGATGCTTAATTGTCGATTTTTTAGAAGTTTGTAACTCTACTTCTTTAAGCAGCTTCAACTCTGAAAAATAAACCTTCTTGAATTTTCTAAAATTAAACAAATGAATAATTATTGGAATTGAAATTGCCAACAGTGCCCATAAGAATTGTGGATATAAAAAATTCATGTTTCAAATATATTTTATTTTTTACTACTTTGGTTCACTCATTCTAGTTAATTTAAAATGAATCTATTTGCATCTGACAAACCCTTGACTTCGCTTGCTAAAAGTAAAGGGATTAACACATTCGATCAATTAATGGAATTCACCCATAATTTGCCCTATGGTAGAAATGCAAATAGGCGTGACTTCAGGTTAGTCCTCACTGAAATGAAAGGCACTTGCAGTTCAAAGCATGGGTTAATAAAGGAAATTGCTAATGAAAATAACTTGACCTCTGTTGAATTGGTTCTGATTTTATTTCATATGAATGAACGCAATACCCCTCACATCAAACCTATTCTAAATCAATTTAATTTAGCTTACATTCCAGAAGCTCATTGTTGCCTTCTATCATCAGGAACGTATATTGACATCACTTTTCCAAATTCTAATTACAATTTACTCGAAAAAGAAATTATTTCTACTGAGGTTATCTCTCCTACTCAGCTATTGAATTACAAAGTAGAGAAACATAAAAAAAAATTAAAAGACTGGGTAATTCAAGAGGAAATAAACTATACATTTGGGGAAATTTGGGCGATTCGAGAAAAATGCATTGCCCAATTATCAACTTAATTCAATGAATAGAAATCAAGCTTTTGCCTTACTTCATTTGTGTGTGTTCCTTTGGGGATTTACTGCTATTTTGGGAAAGTTAATTTCTTATGATTCTGTATCATTAGTTTGGTGGAGACTTATTATCGTTAATTTGAGCTTACTACTATTTATGGTTATAGCAAAAAAGAAAATGGTTGTAAATACCTCTATTTTTCTTCAATTGGCAGGTGTTGGAGCCATAGTAGGACTACACTGGCTGTGTTTCTTTGGAGGTATCAAAGTGGCTAACATTTCCATTACTATGATCTCTTTTTCTACAGGCACCTTTTTCACTTCACTGATAGAACCCCTTGTCTATAGACGAAGGGTAAATGCTAATGAAGTAATTATTGGCGTATTAATTATTCTCATTATCAGCGTAATCGGAATCTCAGAATTTGAAAATTCTGAAAATCCTGTTGCTGGAATCATCTTAGGAGCTTTAGCTGCTCTTACTTCGGCTCTTTTTTCTACTTTCAATGGAAAACTAATTCTAAAATCAAATGCATTTACTATTTCACTTTTTGAATTAATTTTTGCTTTTTTCTTAGTCTCTATTGGCTTATTCTTATTTTTCGATGTGCCCGAAAACCTTCTTGCTCCTTCCTCTGTGGATATTACTTATCTGTTGCTATTAGGAGTTGTTTGTACAGCTTTCCCTTTCATTGCCAGTGTAGAAGTAATGAAAAAACTAAGTCCATTTTCTGTTAATCTGGCCGTAAATTTAGAAATTGTATATGCCATTATCTTAGGCTATCTCATCTTTGGAGAGAACGAACAAATGACTCCTACTTTTTACATTTGTTCTACGTTAATCTTTGTTCTTATCCTATTTAATGAACTCCTAAAAAGAAGAAGAAAAAAGAAAGAGAATTCGGTAAGTCCAAGAATCAATTAAACCAGCTGATTAGCTACTAAATACTCAGCAATTTGCACTGCATTAGTTGCAGCACCTTTTCTTAAATTGTCAGCTACAATCCACATATTAAGTCCGTTTTGCACTGAAAAATCTCTTCTTATTCTTCCTACAAAAACTTCGTTTTTACCCTCTGCATATTTCGGCATAGGATACACATTTAACTCAGGATTGTCTTTCAACACAACGCCAGGTGTATCAGCAATAACCTTTCTTACTTCTGAAATCTCAAATGGCTTTCTACACTCCACATTAACAGATTCGGAATGTCCTCCCACAACTGGCACTCGGACTACTGTTGCTGTAATTCGAACAGTACTGTCGTTAAATATTTTATGGGTTTCATTCACTAACTTAATCTCTTCAGTCGTGTATCCATCTTCTTGAAAGTCTCCTCCATGAGGTAAACAGTTTTTGTCAATTGGGTAAGGATAAGCCATTTCACCTTTCAACTCCCTCCGCTCATTTTCCATTTGCTTCACAGCTTTGACTCCAGTTCCAGTGATAGACTGATAAGTAGAAATAACTAATCTTTCTAGCCCATACTTTTTATGCACTTCCGATAAAGCCAATACCATTTGAATCGTTGAACAATTGGGGTTAGCTATAATCTTATCTTCTTTGGTTAATTCATTGGCATTGATTTCAGGTACGATTAATTTTTTGTCCTCGTCCATCCTAAAAGCTGAAGAATTATCAATCACAGTAGTTCCAACCTCAGCAAATTGTTGGGCAAAAGCTCTTGAGGTATCTCCTCCTGCAGAAAAAATGGCAATGTGTGGAGCTCTAGAAATTGCTTCCTCCATAGAAATAATAGCATGTTTACTTCCTCCAAAGCTTAACTCCTTCCCTACGGATTTTTCTGAAGCAACTAATAACAATTCGGTAATAGGAAAAGAATTTTCCGCTAACACTCTTAAAATTTGAGTCCCAACCATCCCGGTTGCTCCTACCACTGCTATTTTCATATCGTAAAGATTTAGTATTTATTTAAAGTAGTCCTTCAACTCCTTATTCCACAAAAATATTATATTTATAGAACATACTTACACTCCATGAAATCTTTTTTTGCCAGTTTGTTATTGATTCTTATCCAACTTGTTGGAAGTTCTCAATTTACTGACAATTTCTCAGATGGTAATTTCACCTCTAGCCCAGCTTGGAATGGAAATACTACCGATTTTCAAGTTTCTTCTGGAGAGTTACAATTAAATGCTCCTTCAATCTCCAGCAATAAATACTTAAGTACTAACTCCCAAGCAATTAATTCGGCAGTGTGGGAGTTCCGAGTAAGGTTAAATTTCAATCCTTCTTCCTCTAATTACACAAAAATATACCTCGTCTCAAATACTGGTAATATGACTGGATCTTTAAATGGTTATTACCTAAAAATTGGAGGAACAGATGATGAGGTCTCCTTATATTCTCAAACAGGAACTAGTACAAATAAAATTATTGACGGAAGAAATGGAGTAGTCAATTCCTCTGTCGTAGATATTAAAATAAGAGTTACGCGGTCGACTACTGGTAACTGGCAGGTATTTTCGGATACGACAACAGGCTTTACCTCCTTTATTTCTGAAGGAACAACCCTAGATAATACTCACTCTCAAAGTTTGTTTTTTGGGGTAGCTTGTCACTTTACTTCTACTCGTTCAGATAAATTTTATTTCGATGACTTTGTTGTTACTGGAAGTCCAGCTATCGATAACACGAAACCAACCCTAGACAGTGTAAAAGTAATCTCAAATACCCAATTGGAATTAGTTTACAATGAACCTGTGGATGCTACAACCTCTCAAAACACCAGTAATTATTCCGTTAATAATGGAATAGGAACCCCATTTTCTGCGATTCAAAACACTACTGATTTAAGTAAAATAACCCTTACTTTTTCCTCTCCCTTTACCCATGGGATAACAAATGTGCTTTCTGTAACCAACGTAACAGACATTGCAGGAAACAATATCAACCCAGTCACTAAGAATTTCATCTATTTCATCCCAGCCACTCCTCTTTACAGAGAGGTGGTGATTAATGAAATTTTTGCCGATCCCTCTCCAGTAGTTGGTTTACCAGATGCAGAATACATCGAAGTTTACAACGCCACCGCTACAAAATTTTTTCAATTATCTGGTTGGGAAATCTCAGACGGTTCTTCTACATCCACTCTTCCAAATTTTGCTTTGGCGCCTAATTCTTACGTTATTTTATATTCTTCCTCTACCACAGGGGATTTTTCTATCTATCCAAATAAAATTGGACTTTCCTCCTTCCCTAGTTTAAATAATTCAGGTGAAACTATCACCTTAAAGGATAATATAGGAAGTACCATCGATGGAGTAACATACTCCCTTTCTACCTACCAAAACACTGTTAAAGACGATGGTGGTTATGCCCTCGAACAAATTAACCCAAAAGCAAATTGCTTTAATTCAACTAATTGGATCGCTTCATCCAATAGGAATGGAGGTACACCTGGAGTTATAAACTCAGTTAATGACACAACTCCTGATACTTCTAATCCAAAGATTCTCTCCGCTTTTGCTCTTACTAATTCTACTGTAGAAATTACATTTAACAAACCTATTGATACTGCTTTATTCTTCCGGGATATGGTACTTTCTGATAGCAGGGTAGTCACTTCCTATTCTTCCTTAAATTATTTTGGCACTCAATTGCTTTTAACTGTCAGCCCTGCTTTAGATACTGGGAAAGTCTATCTGTTATTATTAGATTCTCTGACCGATTGTGAAGGAAATATCTATAAGACAAATACAGAAGTTATTTTGGCTAATCGAAATAAGATTGGAACTGTTATTTTAAATGAGGTCTTATTCAACCCATTTAGTGGAGAGGAAGATTTTGTAGAACTTTACAATAATTCTAACTTGTACATCGATTTAAAAGGTTGGAGTTTAGCTAATGACGATAATGGAACACCTGACAATTTAAAAGGTATTCCTAATCATTACGTGTTAAAGCCTAGTGAATATGTCGTTATCACTAAAGATTATCAAGTGATTTTGAATCGTTATTATACAAATTCTCCCACAAATTTCATTGAATTGGAATCACTTCCTACTTATTCTAATGATGAAGGGACGGTCTATCTCCTTACTCCTACCAATGGAACATCAGACAAATTTAGCTACATGGGAGCGTATCATTTTTCACTCTTAAGAGACAAAGAAGGGGTTTCGTTAGAAAGATTAGACTTCAATCGTACTACTCAAGATCCTTCTAATTGGCATTCTGCAGCTGAGGAAGTTGGTTTTGCAACTCCAGGAATTAAGAATTCTCAATTTTCTCCTACTACCTCAACTGAAGAAACCTTTAGCCTCTCTCCAGAAGTTTTTTCTCCAGATAACGATGGATTTGAAGACGTCATTACTTTCTCATACAGAATGAAAGAATCTGGATTTGTAGGAAACGTAACCATTTACGATGCCAATGGAAGACCCATTAAGGTGCTTATTAAAAATCAGTTACTCGCACAAAGGGGAAGTTTTTCTTGGGATGGAACCACCGATAATAGCACCAAAGCCAGAATTGGCAGGTATATTATCTTATTTGAATTTTTTGACCTCGAGGGGAATGTTAGTACTGTGAAGAAGACTTGTGTTGTCGCACATAAACTTTAACCTAAACTTATTTAGTTACCACAACTAAGTATTTACTCACACTCCAAAATTTATCAGCATTCAAAATTTTAATCTTTTCTACATTTCCATCTCCTACTAATTCATAAGAATCTATGGGGTGAGTTGTAATGATATCTGCTTTCTTAACTCCCAAAGGGATTTCACTAATTTCTTTAGTATTAATCTCTGTGAAGTAATCTTTGTTAAAATCATCTTTCAACTTTTTTGTTTTTCCAATCCCAATAAGTCCTCCCTCAGAAGTAATCACATTATTTTCCTTTAGTTCTTTTTTACTTCCAAATGCATAATAAGCTGTATGAAGCTGATTGTCTTGGTCTTCAATAGTCTCATTTTTATCCGCGATTACAGCTAAGTTTGTTTCGTAAGCTGCCATTAATTCATCAAAGGCAACTTCCATGTCTCCCATCTGTCCTTTCATTCCCAATATTTTAACTTCCCTCTCCTCCGCTTGTTTGGTCAAACTCCTAATTACTTCTTCCAACTCATTTAACTGTCCATTTGAATTTTTAAGTTTGCTATTCATGCGAGCAATCTTTCTTTTGTTATCAGCTAACAAGGCACCTAGTTGTTGTAAATCTGATTTAATGGTCTCTGCTGTTTGAATAGTTACATCCCCGTTTTGAGGCATCAATACAGTATTTTCTTTATCCCTAATTTGATTTAAATTATTTTGTACATCTAAGATAAATCGAGAGTATTGGCTTAACAATGAATCTTTTTCTTCCACTTGCGAAGCTTGCATCTTTAGCTCATTATTTTCCTGTTTTATTTGATCTAATTCAGCTGATAAATCTGCTGCTTCATTTCCACAAGAAGCGATAAAGAGTACTACTGTGATTAAATACGCTAGTTTTTTCATGATTAATTAGGTTAAATTGGTTTGCTCAAAATTAGAGAAAATTTGTTATTTTGTTCTATAAATTCTTCAATTCCTTACCTAACTCAAAAAACAATCAAATAGTATGAATAGTCCATTAAATCTTATAGAATGGTTGGACAAAAATAAATTGTGGAAGGAGATCAAAACCTACAAAAGGAATGAATTCATTAAGCAAGAAAAGACTACTGACACCCATCTATATTACGTTCAAGAAGGAAGTTTAAGGATATTTATTCATCATGAAGAAGAAGAAAAAGTAATTCGTTTTGGATACAAAGATTCCATCGTTGTTGCTTTAGATTCTTTTCTCACTGGCGGCCCTTCAAACTTTATCCTACAAACTATCAAAAAAACAACAGTGAAAATTCTAGCTAAAGAGACTTTTGATGAATTAGTAAAATCAAATCCTGAAATTGCTATACTTTGGCAAAAATCTCTGGAGGAATTAGCTATTCAACAAATAGAAAGGGAGGTTGATATCCTCACTAATTCTCCCAGAGAAAGATACCTTCGAGTATTAAAAAGAAGTCCGCAGCTCTTCCAAGAAATTCCTCATAAGCACATCGCCTCCTACCTAAGGATGTCTCCAGAAACTTTATCCAGATTGAAAAAACATTGATTTGAGTCAATGTTTTTGTCCATTTTTAGCCTCAAATTTGTAAAAAAAATTAGATGAAAATAACAACTCAACAACTACTGGATGATTTAAAAAAAATGACCTTGTTTCACTTAGAGGAAGCTCATATTTTTTTGGAGCTAGAAATAGCAACTCTTAACTCAAAACCTCATGAGAATAGCTGGAGTATTTTAGAATGCCTTGAACACCTCAATCGATATGGTGATTTTTATTTACCCGAAATTGAATCACGAATGAAAGAAAGTAACCACAAAAAAAAGGAAATTTTCAAAGGTGGACTATTGGGGAATTACTTTGCTAGCAGCATGCTTCCAAAAGAGAAACTAAATTCGATAAAAACGTTCAAAAGCATGAATCCCTTGAATAGCAAGTTAGATAAAACTACAATCGAAAAATTTATCCATCAACAACAAAAAATGATGGAATTGTTGGAAATTGCTGAGTCTAAAAATTTAACTAAGATTAAAACTTCAATCAGTATTTCCAATTTTATTAAGCTGAGACTAGGTGATACGTTTAGAGTTGTTATATATCACAATAAAAGACACTTGGTTCAAGCCAAAAAATTGTTGTAATTATTTCTGTTTTTGCAGAGGGTTAGCTGTAAATTCCTTGTGTTCTTTTCTTGCTCTATAAATGTCTAAAGCTAAATACAATGCATTTCTAAAAGAAGATTCTGAAGCCTGATTCTTACCCGCAATATCAAAACCAGTACCATGATCTGGAGAAGTTCTTACAATCGGTAATCCAGCAGTAAAATTCACTCCGTTTCCAAAAGAAAGACTTTTAAAAGGCACTAGACCTTGGTCGTGATACATAGCTAATATCCCATCGTAATGAGCATAATCTGAGCTACCAAAAAATCCGTCTGCTGAATAAGGGCCAAATGCTAACACTCCTTTTCCTTTTGCTTCGGAAATAGCGGGTGAAATAATTTCTTTTTCTTCATCTCCTATTATTCCTTTATCTCCTGCGTGAGGGTTTAAACCCATTACTGCAATTTTAGGACGAGTAATACCAAAATCTTTGATTAAACTTTCATTCAGTTGATGGATAGAATTTACTATTTTCTCTTTAGTTAACGTTTTAGCTACTTCCTTAAGAGGGATGTGACCAGAAACCACTGCAACTCTCAACGAATCTGCCACCATGAGCATTAATGCATTGTCAACATTAGATAAATTTGCTAAAAACTCCGTATGTCCAGGGAAACTGAACTCATTACTCTGCACATTATGTTTATTAATTGGGGCAGTAACTAATACATCTATCTTAGAAGTAGCCAAATCATCAGTAGCAGCTTTTAAGGATTTAATAGCGTATTCACCTCCCACTGAAGTCTCAGTTCCTATAGCCAATTCGGGATCCTTGTCCCAACATTTTTTTATATACAGTGTTTTAGATTTTGCTTCCATCCCCTCCTCTAAATTAGTATGGGTCATGGAAGGTAAATCTAATGTTTTTCTGTGCAAAGAAAGCAAAGAAGGCGACCCATAGATAACTGGGGTTACAAAATCAAGAACCCTAGTGTCTGCAAAGGTTTTGAGAATTATTTCAGGTCCAATTCCGTTAACATCTCCTACTGAAACACCTACTCTTATTGGTTTTTTATTTGATGGATTTGACATAATGAAGTTTAAAATCTTTTTTTTGCAACAATAAACCAAGAGGTTTACTAATTTTGTAGGCTCAAAGGTAAAATTTTTTTACCCTAAAAGGAATTAAATCTTTAAAAATGAAAATTACCAAAGAACAGGTTTTAGATGCCTTAAAAAATGTCATCGAACCCGACCTCAAGAAAGATATTGTTACATTAGGTCTTGTGTCTGATATCGAAATAGAAGGAATGGAAATTTCCTTCAAATTAAGGATTAGTAATCCCGCCCTTCACTCAAAAAAAAGGATGCAACAAGCTTGCGAATTTAATTTAGAGAGGTTTATTAACAGTGATGTAGAAGCTAATATTGAGATTTCTGGAATCGGTTCTGAAGAATCTGACCCTAACTTGAGAAAGATTCTACCTGGAGTAAAAAACATCATAGCTGTAGCTTCAGGAAAGGGGGGAGTAGGTAAATCTACCGTTACTGCTAATCTAGCTATAAGCTTGGCAAAAAAAGGATACAAAGTTGGACTTATTGATGCCGATATTTATGGGCCTTCTATGCCTTTAATGCTGGATTGTGCTTATGAGAAACCTACCATGACTGAGATAGATGGTAAGAGCTACATTTCACCAGTAGAAAGTTTTGGAGTTAAAGTAATGTCTATTGGTTTTTTCGCTGACCTTAATCAAGCAATTGTTTGGCGGGGAGCAATGGCCAGTAAAGCGATTCGTCAAATGTTTATTGATACATACTGGGGAGAACTGGATTATATGGTTATTGATTTGCCTCCTGGGACTGGTGATGTACACCTTACTTTAGTTCAACTAGTGCCTATAAGTGGAGCGGTGATAGTGAGCACCCCTCAAGACATTGCCTTGGCCGATGTAAAAAAAGGTATTCACATGTTTAAGATGCCTAACATTAATGTCCCTGTATTAGGGGTGGTTGAGAACATGGCTTATTTTACTCCCGCTGAATTGCCCGACAATAAATACTACATTTTTGGGAAAGATGGTGTAAAGAATTTATGCGAACAGCTAGACATTAAATTGTTGGGTGAGATTCCTTTGATACAAAGCATCAGAGAAGCAGGAGATGCAGGAACACCAGTTGCAACCCAAGATGGAACTCCCTCAGCTATTGCCTTTGACCTGTTAACTGCTAATGTTGTGGAACAAGTTAACTGGAGAAATAACAATCTTAAACCCACTCAAGTGGTGAAAATGACTCAATAGACTATGAAAACACTATTTTCAATACTTTTTACTTTTTGCTTTTCTTTATCACTTCTATCACAAGAACAGGACTCATTATTGATCAATAGTTCATACAGTCAAGAACAATTGGATTCAATTCAAAAAATAAAAGATGCTCTTGAATATAAAAAATCACATACTGATTTTTATGTATTAAGAAAAGGCAGACTATTTGGTTCTTGGGGCTATAATAGATCCACATATGGAAGAAGTACTATTCGGTTTTGGGGAGATGGTTATGACTTTAAAATCATCAAGGCAGTTGCTAAAGACAGACAAACTAAATTTGATCCAAAAGTCTATTTCAACCCTTCTCTAGTTACAATCCCCCAATATAATTTACGTATTGGTTATTATTTCACTAATCACCTGTCTCTTACATTTAATGTAGATCACATGAAATATGTACTGGATAACTCTCAAGTTGCTGCAGTTGATGGATATGTTGATTCTAGTGCTAGTCAAGAATGGGCAGGAACTTATGACTCAAAAAAATTAATGAAGTTAAGCAGTGAATTTATAGGTTATGAACATACCGATGGATTAAATGTAGTGTCTTTGGAATTGGATTACAATGATTTATTTTACGAAACGTACAACCGTAAATTTGCCGTAGACTTAATTGCTGGAGTTGGTTTAGGTGCTACAATTCCCAAAACTAATGCTGTCTTATTTAACAAATTTGGAAACGATGCTTTTCATCTATCAGGTGGCGGAATCACAGCAAATGTTGGATTAAAACTATTCTTCTTCAAGCATTTTTTTCTACACCCCACCGCAAAAACTGGTTTGCTATTTATGCCTAATGTAGCAACTAATGGACTTGAAAATGATAGAGCCTCTCAAAACATCTCTTTTTTTCAATGGAATTTTACTGTTGGATATCAGATAAAAATTGCTCATAAGTAAGAGATTAGACTCAGTAAAAAAACTGATTTTTATTTTTAAACTAAGAACAAAAAGACTATTTTTGTACAACAAACTTATATTAAATTAAAGAAATGAGAAATAAATTACTACTTATAGCCTTGGCTTTTAGCTTTGTATCTGCTAGCGCACAAGATTTCGCTGAGAGAAAAAACAAAGGAAGAATCTATGCTTCTTATGGACTAAATAGGTCATCATTTGATCTTTCTACGCTTAAAATGAAAGGTTCTACCTATGACTTTAGCTTAATTCATTTTGACGCAACTGATGCACACGATGGACTAGATTTTGCTAAGTTTAGTGGTAAGCTTGGTTTCTTTATTACTGAGAGGTTATCGATCTCTGTTGGTTATGACAATTTAACTTACAGTGCAAAAAACAATAGATTAGTAAAAATTGGAGGAACTATTGATACAGGAGAATACGCTGCAACTTATTACGAGCAAGCAGATGTTATCAGAACTAAAGAAGAGTTTCTTACTTATGAATATACGAGTTTAAACTACCTAAACTTAAACCTTGAAATCAATGACGATTTTTGGGTATCAAAAAATGGAAAAATTGCTTGGAGCTATTATTTCGGTTTAGGCGGTGGAGTTCTAATGACTGAAAGTAAAGTAGCTTTATTTGGAGGAGCACCTATCACTACAGATAATGGAATGAATGGGTTTGGAGGAAATGCTTCATTCGGAACTCGTTTGTATTTAGGTCCTTTATTCCTTGACTTTGGAGGAAAAGCTGGTTACATGAAAACAAAAGAAGTTGCATTGGACAAAGCTAATGGTATGGCTGATCATACTTTTATCTTTGCTACTGGAATTGCTTCAGCAGGATTGTCTTTCAGATTTGGAAAATAAAAATAATTTAATTTATAATTCTTAAAAAAGAGCCTTGCAAATGCAAGGCTCTTTTTTTTGTCTTCATCTCTAAAGAAGAATTCCATCTCATTCGTGTTCCCATAACGGGTCATTTAAATATAACTCTTCGTATTCCCTAGCACAGCTACAATCAAATTTAACTCTCTTCTCAGGGAAAAACTTACGATACAGCTCTACTCTCTTCTCTAGGCTCACAGAAAGAGGGTCCTTTCTATTGTTCAGCCACATTCCTATTATTAATAAAGGCTCATGCTTAGGCGGTCTCCATCCATCATACTCACAAAATCGAGTGTGATAAATAAAATGCATTCCTAAAATTTTCTCCGTCATAAAGTTTTTATTCAAAACTTGATAATTACTTTTTTCAAATGCTTGTATGTCTGTCATAGCCTCATTATACTTATACCCCACAAATATTGAAACTGCTATTGAGCTAACTAGTCCAAAAGTAAAAAAAAGTCGAATTCTCTTTCTCTTTGGAAAAATCGCATTCTTCCAAATCAATTGAATTGCAAAAAAATGAGGTATAAAGGTAAGTAAGCCTAAACCAAAATAGAGTACTCCTATCATACCTAAGAAATTCATTTGTTCTAAAAAGAGTACGCAATAGACAAAAATAAAAAGGGCTACTCCATTGATAAAACTCAGTAATGGTAATACTAATTGTATATTGGAAATTAAAGGTGATAAAGCTGTCACAAAAAAGCAAATTCCCAAAACTATACTAGCCCATATAGTAGGTACACAAAATACTTGCCAGTAGATATTCCCTACAACACCAAGAAGTAGTAAAGAGAAGTTTAAAAAGACTAATGATCGGGGGGAAGAAAAGTACTTAAATAATTTCTGAAACATTGAGTAATTTTACAACATAACGAAACTATCTACGAGATATTAGTTAAAAAATAGAAATAATGTGAAATGATATAGGATGTAAAGTTTAAACCTCTAAACTCTTTTTTAAAGCTACCATTTTAATAGCTGCTACAGCACATTCTACCCCTTTGTTTCCATGTTTACCTCCTGACCTATCTAACCCTTGTTGTAGAGTGTTATCAGTAAGCACACAAAATGAGACTGGTTTCCCAAATTTAAGATTCACATCTTTTATTCCCTGAGAAACTGCCTCGCATACATAATCAAAATGCTTAGTTTCCCCTTGAATAACACTTCCTATTGCTACTACTCCATCTACCTCAGTATGTTCAAGCATAAGTTGAGAAGCTAAAGGAAGCTCATAAGCTCCTGGTACTCTATGTACCAATATGTTTTCTGGAGTTACTCCATTTTCAAGAAGAGTCTGATAAGCTCCTTTCATCAAGTTTTCCGTGACAGAAAAGTTCCATTCAGAAACAACAATCCCGAAAGACATCTCAGATGCATTCGGGATTAAATCCTTATCGTAATCAGATAAATTAGTAAGTGCGGTTGCCATTTTATTTAGCTTGTAAAGCTGCTATATACTTTTCTACACCAAATGCTTCAGGCGAAGTAGGATAATCATCTTTAATTCTTTGGTATGAGTCGATAGCATCTTTAATGTCTCCTGCTGTTTCTTGAGCAATAGCTAATTTTCTTAAATAAACAGGAACTGTAAATTCATTGTCAGAGTGGTTAATAGCCGCTTCATAATTTGAAATAGCATTGTCTACCTCTTGCAATTCAAAATAAGCATCACCTAATGCTCCTTTAGCAACTGCTCCTAAAATAACGTCTTCAAAATTTACTCCCTCTAAAGCATCAATAGCTTCGTTATATTTTCCTAGGTTTAAATATCCTACTCCCATGTTATAAGCAGCAATTTCCCCAGCTGGAGTTCCACTGTACTCACCAGCTATTGCAGCATACCCAATGTTATTCATGTCTCCATCAATAGCCTCTTGAAATTTATCTGCTGAAAAATTATTCTCTTGATTCCATATTAGAGTGCTAGCCTCTAGTGATTTAGCTTCTTTATTGCTATTATACCACCAAAACCCACCTACAATCAATATGATTGCTCCTACTGCAATAAAAATATAGTTTTTATTCTCTTCGTACTTATCTTGAAGTTTATCAGCTATTTCTTGTACGTCAAAGTTTTCTAAATCTGCCATTCTTTATTTTTTTGATTGACAAAAATATAGTTTTTTATCAATATTTCTGGTATTTCCAGTTATTATTTTACTTAAAAAGTATATCGTCTACAATTCTCTTATTCAATTTTCGATTTAATGATTCCTTTAATTTCTCCTTCGCAAAAGAGAGCTCGTGTCTAAGCACAGAAGACTCAATTTCAATTATCAAGATTTTTTTTCTAAGTTCCAGCCGTTTAGTTTTTTTCGCAATCGTCACTCCCATCAATTCTTCCCATTCTTTTCTCAGACTAATTTCATCCAACTTATCTTCTATCTTATAGACTTTCAATAGTTTTTCTATTGCCTCTTTCAATGGAGTAACTTCCTTATTTCGTTTCGGTAGTGCCATGATTAATGTTGTCCAAATAAGTGCTTAAATACTTCTTCTATTTTACTCACTAAGAGTAACTCAATATCAAAATCAGCCTGTTTAACTCCTTTGTTATACTTCGAAAGAATCATTTTTTCGAACCCAAGCTTCTGAGCTTCACTAATTCGTTGATCAATATGCGGAACAGGCCTAATCTCTCCCGACAAACCTACCTCAGCTGCTAACGCAATATTTTTTCCAAGGGGCATGTCTACATTTGAAGATAAGACTGAACAAACTACTGCTAAATCAATAGCAGGATCTTGAACTCTTATCCCTCCCGTAATATTTAAAAAAACATCTTTAGCTCCTAGCTTAAACCCACATCTCTTCTCCAACACAGCTAATAACATATTGAGTCTTTTTGTATCAAAACCAGTGGTTGTTCTTTGAGGGTTACCATATGCAGCAGTACTGACTAAAGCTTGTACTTCGATAAGCATAGGCCTCAAACCTTCCATGGTCGAAGCAATAGAAACCCCACTTAATGCTTCTTCAGAATTGTTTAACAACACATCTGTTGGATTTTCCACTGGAATAAGTCCCCCTGTTTGCATTTCATAAATACCTAACTCATTGGTAGATCCAAATCTATTTTTAGTTGTTCTTAGCAATCTGTAAATGTGATTTCGATCCCCTTCAAACTGCAACACAGTATCCACCATATGCTCCAGTACTTTAGGCCCTGCAATACTCCCATCTTTTGTTATATGCCCAATAATAAAGACTGCAGTTTGCGTTTCTTTGGCAAATTTCATTAAGTCACCTGTACATTCCCTTATTTGCGAAATACTCCCTGGCGAAGAATCCAAGTAATCCGAATGAAGAGTTTGAATTGAATCAATAATCAGAATGTGTGGAGATAATTCTTCAATGTGCGAAAAAATGTGTTGAAGCTTTGTTTCATTCAGTAAAAAACAATTTTCAGAAGTCTTTCCAATTCGATCTGCTCGCATTTTTACTTGTTTCAAGCTTTCCTCTCCTGACACATACAATACCCTAGCTTTTGAATGCTGAAGTGCCATCTGTAACATCAAGGTGGATTTTCCTATTCCCGGTTCCCCTCCAAACAAAACCAATGAGCCATGAACAAGTCCTCCTCCTAATACTCGATTAAGTTCTATATCCTTGAAGATAATTCGATTATGTTTCTCATCTGAAACTTGGGCTATTGGCACTGGCTTAGAAATTCGTTTAGCAGTAGGACCAGTGGAAAATAATTTCTTTTCATTCTTAGAGACTACCTCTTCTACGTAAGTATTCCATTCATTACAAGAACCACACTTCCCTACCCATTGAGGAGATTGAGCTCCACAATTTTGACAAAAATAGGTTTTCTTGATTTTAGCCATACTTATTGTTATTGTTCCTCTACTTCCGAATTAGAAAATTTAATATTAATAGCATACAATGAATATACCCCAGCCACCACTAAAAATATAGTTTGTATTACCCATGACATGATAGAAAAGCTAGAAGCTAAATCTTTATTGTAACCAAAGTAAACTAAAGCTGCAGTAATAAAAATTGGATACAGACCAATACCACCTGGTGTTACCGCAATGGCTGCTGCTCCAACTACAAACCCAACCATAAGTTCTTTTATTCCTATAGACTCCATCCCTTGAACTCCTTGTGCCATAAACCACATTAATAAAACATAGGTCAGCCATATAAACAAAGTATGTAAGATAAACGGAATTCTTTTTTTCATTGTAAAGATAGTTTTTACTCCCTCCCACATTCCTTTGAGTTTCTCAATAAAAAAAGTTCTCAATTTCTTAGAAGAAAGAACAGCAATAGCTCCTATTACCACAACAGCAATAATTCCATAGATCCAATAAGAATTTCCGGTATCAGAATCTCTTTTAGTAAATCCATCTATTACCTCTTTTCCCACCATTAAGGAAGTTCCTAAGGTAATTCCTAGCAACATGATTACATCTATTATTCTCTCGGCTACAACCGTTCCAAATACTTTATCAAAAGGGAGATTCTCTTTCTTAGCTAAAAAGCCTGGACGTGCTATTTCACCACTCCTCGGAATGGTAAAATTCAATACATAGCCAATCATCGTAGCATGGTACATATTTACCAATTTTGGATTATACCCAAGTGGCTCCATCAAAAACTTCCAACGATAAGCTCGACTCAAATGTCCTAACCAAGCTGCAAAAATGGATAAAAATACCCAAAGGTAATTAGCGTTCGAGAACGCACTTGGAATGGCCTCCTTCTCCTCTTGAGTCAATCCTGAATAGAAAAAATAGGTTAAATAGATTCCTATCCCCATCGGGATAATGATTTTAAGTACTTTGATTAGATTCTTTTTCAAACGGTAAAATTTTACCAAAGATAAGATTATCCGAACAAAGAAGAATGATAATAAATCATAAATAAGTTGACTTCATCAAAAGTACAATCGATATAATGCTACTGGAAAAAAACCACGTTGATAGTTAGTTCTTACCTCTCCAGAAGAAATCTTGTATCCTTGAATAAACACATTCTTCCTATTGGTAATATTCTGAATATCAAACATGAATTCTTGGGACACTTTAGATGAATTCCATCTAATTCCAATTTTAAAATCAAACCTTAAATATTCGTTGTAAGAATCACTAAAAGCGACATCATTTAATCGAACTTCTTGATTTTGAATTCGCGAAGCTTCTAAGTCAATTGGAGTAAAAGGTTTTCCTCCAGCATAAGTTGCTTTGGCGTCAACGGTAAGAGTAAATTTTTCGTTAAGAACAAATTCCTTACCTCCCAATGCATTAAATACATACTGATTATTAAAAGCGGTATTTCTTGAAATTCCATCACTTCCTTTGTATTTCGAATCAAATAAGGAAGCAGTAACTAAATAGTAGTAGCCTTTTGATAAAAATTTCTCAAAAGTAATCTCTATTCCATAATTCATTCCAGTTCCTTCATTTACAAGACCAGTTTTATTAGGTAAGGTGAAATCTGCCCCTTCATTCAACATGGAAAAAGAAGAAGAAAAAGTATCTACTGGTACGTTGTATACATATTGGAAATAGGCTTCTAATTTCAACCTAGAATTTGGCCCTGTATTCAACTCATATCCCAATACATTGTGAATACTTCTAGAAAAATCTAACTCTTTGTTAGGAGTTGGGTTAGAAGGGTTATCTCTGTCTTTTATGTAATACACTGAAATAGGTTGAGTTTGACTATGCATACCAAAACCATAAGAAACCTTACTTTTTTTAGTTAGACTGTATTTAATTCCCAGTCTAGGCTCAATACTAGTAGAATTAGAATATTCAAAATACTGTGCTTGAGCACCAAAATTTGCTACTAATTTTTCAGTAAAATGATGCCTCCAAGAAAAATATCCTTGTGCCAACAATGAATTCCCTTTAAAGTTTAAAGTCTCTGTAAATACATCATCAACTTGGAGGCTATCTTTAAAATTAATTGTATTGAGCTTTCCAATGACACCTGCATTCCAACTATTCCTAACATTGACTTTCTTATTCAATTTAAAGTGAACAGCATAATTGCTAAGAACTCTGTTGAAATGAGCTAAAGGTGTTTTAATGTCTGTATTAAATCCTGTAGAATCAATTTCTCCACCTGAGGTAGTTGAAGAAGCTACTAACGATATTTTTGAAAACATAGTCGGATTGTAGAAGTATTTATGTGTTACTCCTATTATTCCTGTTCTACTCTTAAATAAAGACTTTTCATTTTCGTCAGCAAATAAATTAGTGTTAGAAGTATCAATATCAAAATCAATTGAACTAAATCCTCCTATTCCAAAGATGGAAAAGATGCCTGCTTTTTGAGTTGGAAAATTAAGTTTAAAGGTTAAATCCTGATATTCTGGAATGGAGGATCCTGTTCCTAAATCTATTCCTAAAGTTTGGAAGACCCCCAAAGTAGAATATCGATAATTAAACATGTAAGAAGCTCTTTTTCCTTTCTTAAAAGGCCCTTCAGACCCTAATTCAAATCCATTTGCACCAATTTGAAAAAGGTGTTCAAAATTATCATTATTTCCATCTCTGAGTTGTAAATCAAAAACACCTGAAAGTGCATTTCCATATTCAGATGACCAAGCTCCAGTCATAAACTCAGAATTCTTTAGGTTATTAACATTAAGCATGCTAATGGGACCTCCCGTGGTTCCTATAGTCGAAAAGTGATTAGGACTAGGAATGTCAACTCCTTCCAATCGCCACAACACCCCAGTAGGTGAATTTCCACGAATAATGATGTCATTCCTATCATCTGAAGATCCACTAACTCCAGCATAATTTTGAGACATACGAGCCGGATCTTGGAGAGACCCTGAGAATCTAGTTGCTTCTTCGATAGAGAGCGTTCTTGAACTAACAGTATTCATTTTATTAATACTTTCTCTTTTATCAGCTTCTCCAGTAATTACTACTTCTCCTAACTGGCTATACTTTTCTTTTAACTCAACATTAATTACTAATTCTTTAGCTGAAAAAACCAGTAAATTTGGAATGTCCCTACTTTCATATCCTAAAAAACTTACTCGAATTGTTTGCCTTCCAGTAGGAACATCTTCTAATCTAAATTCTCCATTAATATCGGTAGTAGTTCCTATAAGAGGATCACTCCCTACCAAAGTAACATTAACACCTATTAAAGTTGCTTGAGACACTTTATCAGTAACAGTCCCTTTAATTACCGAAGTCAGTTGTTGAGAATAATTAACTCCTGCTATTAAAAGTAGAATTAATGCTAATTTTATTTTTTTCATGATTATCTAATTTGTTAAGCAAAGTAACTAAGAAATCTTCATGAAAAAATTGATATTTGTTAAGAAAACGAATTTACCCGCTGTCTCCTTATCCTACTCAAAGATTCTGGGGCAATACCTAAAAAGCTAGCCAAATGTTTTAAGGGAATCCTATTCACTAACTCCTTATTTTGAGCCTCGAAATTTGCATACTTTTGCTCTGATCTTAAATTCGCTAATTTGTCGTTACTTCTAGATATTAAAGTCGTAAGCGCTCTTTCTACCATGAGTCTTCCAAGTCTTTCCAACATGTGAGAATTGTTATAGCCTTCTAATAATTTATCATATGGAAGGTATAATAATCTAGTTGTTTCTATTGTCTCTACATAACATTGGCATTCCTTGTTCATCATTAGACTTTCATAATCCGTAAAAAACTCAGTCTCTCCCATAAAGTCAACAGTAACATCATTGCCTTCATTTAATCTATAAATTCTAACAAGTCCTTCTATAACAAAATAGACTCCTTTGCATGTTTGACCTACTCCAAGGATTTCTTCTTTCTTTTCACATGACAACAGTTGAATGTGAGGTAATACTGGCATCACATCATCCATTTCAAGAGGAACAAAATTTTGAATAAAGTCTAAAAACTGTGAAAGTTCTTTTTCCATGCTATAAAGATAAAAAAAACTCCATTTGAATATTCAAATGGAGTTTAAATCTTTAATTACACTATTTTTCACTTAACTACCACTAATTTCTTGGTAAATGATTTGTTGTTAGTATTAAATCGTATGATGTAAATACCTTCAGCAAAATCATTGATATCAATAGTTTCAATCTTAGCTCCATTGATCACTCTTGACGAATAAACAATTTGCCCAGCATTATTGAATATATCGATCTCAATATCCTTCATACTTTCATCCAAGACAGAAATGTTCAAGAAATGATTAGCAGGGTTAGGATATACCACTACTGATTTGCTAATATCTTCTTCATTAATTCCAGTACAATCATTTACTAAGACTTGTATTGTCCCTGTATTATCACAAACTCCAAAAACTCCTTTTAGCTTTGCCGTGTATAATCCAGGGCTAGTATAGGTATGCATCAGGTTTGGAGTTGTAGAAGTATTCATATCTCCAAAATCCCATGAATAAGTAATCGCATTAGACCCCGTCATACTAAAATACACTGCAGAACCTAAACAAATTGTATCAGGATTTGCGTTTGCAACGACAACAGGAATAGGGTTGTTAGTCACAGTAACATAAGCTGTATCTCCTACACAATTGGCATTTTTACCAACTACCCAATACTGAGTAGTCGCAGGTGGAGTAACCGTAATAGAAGCGTTGGTTGATCCCGTACTCCAAGTATAAGAAGTACCAGCATTACCAGTAAGAGTAATAGCAGAGCCATCGCATATAGTAGTATCACCAGGAGTGACTGTAGTCTTAGGATAACTTCTCACTGTTAGCACCTTAGAAACACTATCTGAACCACATCCATTTTCTACTTTCATTTTCACGTTGTATACTCCAGGCACAGTAAAGAATACCGTATCATCTTCTTGGTTAGAAATATTTGGAACCCCTCCAGGGAAGGTCCAATAAATAGTTCCACTACCAGTAATAGTTCCATTGAACTTAATTGAGTCCTGTTCACAAATTGCCAATGATGTTTCGGTAAAACTTGCAGTTGCACCAGCTGTATCCACAGTGATTGTCTTAATCAAGCTATCATTACTACAAACTCCTTCTAAGTATAAAATTGCTTTATAAACACCTGGCGTACTATAAGTCACAGACTGAGTTATGTTTGTAGAATATGAAGGTGTTCCCCCAGGAAAAAACCACTTTAACGAATCATAATTCGCTAAAGATGTTGCGGTAAACACTGTACTCTGACCCTGACAAATTCTTTGTCTTGAAACGTTAAGTGTCCCTGTGGCTGGTAGATCGGTATAAATCACTCTTAATCCTGTTGATGTATTAATTCCGCCTGCAACTGAAGAAGCACTTTGCCAGATCCCAGCTGTTTTCACATAAGTCGTATTCGTTCCAGCAATTCGATTGTTAGCAGTTGTAATCAATAGAGTATCACCTGGATTATCGTAATTTAATTCTATTCCTGCCCAAAAATTACCCGTAACAAAAGGTGGAGTAGTTAAATAAACTTCATTGCTCACTCCAGCAACTAAGCTAGAGATAAGAATAGTATCACTGGATAAGACTGTACCTGGAACCCCAGAATTATCCGAATAAATATTGATTACAAAATTTGAATTCACTGAACCTACATCAGCTTTAACTACTGGAAGAATTACCCGTTGAATGGTATTAGTGGGAGTAGTTAGGGTAAAAGGTTCTGCATATCCACTAATATTAGCTCCATTATGCCCAGGATAATATCCCCAAGTACCTAACAGTTCATAATAAATCATCGAATCTACAGCTAAATCATAATTATCTAATGTATCACAGAATCCAGGAGGAGTAGGAATTACTACTACACAACCTGGCTTCGTTATTGAATCTTTTAAAGAAGCATTTTCCACAACCATCTTAACGTTGTAGGTTCCCACTGTAGAATAGGTCTTAATTGGATTACTAGATACCGAACTTGTTCCATCTCCAAAATCCCATCTCCAAGCATAAGCAGCTGGAAAAGAAATCGATGTGTCATTAAAATAAACTGGATAACCAGGATATACGGTATCACACCCGGTATAACCAGGGACTAACTGAGAATTATAAGGTAAACAAAAACTATAAACTGCTGAATCACCAAAATTAGGATTTAATGATTTTGCTATCACTTGCCCAGTTGTAGCATCCGTCACTGTATATTTCCCTGCGTTAGGACAAAAACTTTTAGGTTGCAATCCATCCCCCCAAGAGTCATAAATAACAAACTGATAGCACCCAGAATCTAAACAAGCCGTTTCAAAAATATTTTGGGTAATCTGAGCATAACCACTACCACTAAGTTTAATAGCACCTCCAGTATCTTTTAGAACCCAAGATATCTCTTGAGCACTGCAATCAGTTCTGATATCCACTAAAACTGAAAATCCAGCTTTTGAATAGAAGGCAGAAGACCCAGCATTATTAGAAGGATCAGTGTCATTATTAAATCCATTTATCAAAGTCGAATCAATGGCTACATTGTAAGTATGACTACCTGTAGAAGTAACAATAGGAGGTAAAGAAATGGTATCACAATCGGTTGGAGCCATATTACCAGTCCAGTAATAAGTCAAAACAGCTCCAGCATCAATGTTATATTTTATACTGAAAGATTTTAACGTATCGTTTCCTCCATTGCAAACAATAATATAAGCAGGTACAGTAGTTGTACACACAGTGTCCTTTGGATAAATTATGGAGGATAAGACTGGATTATACTGATACGGTGACGAACAGTTTTGATTTGTAGTCAAAGTATGTCTAGCTCCTCCAGACATTAAAACAGCTCTCATTCTCGTTACTTGATTAGGAGTAAAATCTGAGGCACAAGCTCCATTTTGATATTGCATATAATTCTCAACGTTGTCCAAAGGACATGGCTTTGAAACACAAGCATTTCCTGTCCCTACTGTAGTAGGTGGAGTGTCACAACAGTTGTCTCCAGATGTAGCACAAGGTGTTCCAGGAGTACATGAACTTGTATTGTGAAACGTATGATATAAATTGAGGTAATGCCCTAATTCATGGGTCAACACTCGGTTATCATTAGTTTGGGTCCATAAATTAAATCCTTTGACACCTGAAATGTCATTTCCAGTGGCACTAAATCGAATCACCACTCCATCTGAAGCAGCAGAACCACCAGGAAATGTAGCATACCCTATAACTCCTCCGCCTCCACCAGCATAGATGTTCGTTGTACTTTTTATTTTATTCACTACCCAAACATTAAGGTATTGTGCTGGGTTCCATTGAACCATAGCCTTCATGGATGCATCATGCCTCCATGTCCCTGCATTATGATATACGCCAGAATCCAAATATCCCTGAATTCCGGACATATCATGACGAGTTATCCCTGTTGTATAGTTTCCACTAGGATCTCTTCGAGCTAAACAAAACTCTATCTCAGCATCCGTCCCTAAAGGACCAGACTGAGCAATTCCACCATCATCACTATTTCTTCTAAAATCTCTGTTTAAAGCTGCAATACAAGACATGATTTGAGCATCCGAAATATTTGTTGAATCCCCTAAGGCTTCTCCTTCATGCATTACATGAAAAACTATAGGGATGGTATACACAACACCTCTACTCACTCCCCCAGACCTACTCGCACTGGCCTGTTGCATGATATTTTGAGTATGTTGTTCAATTTGATTTCTTTTTAATAAATATGAAGGGTCAGTCCGTTTTAAATACTCATCCATATAGTGTGAAGCACACTTTTCTCCATCAAAAGGCACTGTTACACCTGGAACTTGAGGATAAGGGTTTGTCGCTTGTTGTCCAAAGCCGAATTGAAAGACAACAAGACAAGCTATCAAAGTAAGTAGTAGTTTACTATTCATAATAAAAATTTTCATTCCTTAAAAATACGAATTAATCTATATTTAGTTGCTTATCTAATAAACGTAAATAATCTAAAGTTAGTTAGCTACCTGTTTCTTAAGAACCTTTAAATGATCTCTCAGTTTAGCAGCTTCAACAAAATCAAACTCTTTAGCTGCCTTTTCCATGGCCTTTTGGGTCATCTTGATGTTATTCTCCAATTGATTTTTTGTCAAATATTCTACCTCTTCTTCCGCTGCAATTGTATGAACCTTCTCTAAATTATTTTCAAACTGGTAGGGCTTACTCTCTGAATTTTTCTTAATTGCAGTTGGGGTAATACCGTGTTTTTTATTGTATTCCATCTGTACTGCACGTCTTCGTTCCGTCTCCTCAATTGTCCTTTGCATGGAATTTGTCATTTTATCTGCATACATAATTACTCTACCATTAACATTCCTCGCAGCTCTCCCAACAGTTTGGACTAATGCTCTCTCTGAACGTAAAAAGCCTTCTTTGTCTGCATCCAAAATAACAATTAGAGATACCTCAGGAAGATCTAATCCTTCCCTTAACAGATTAACTCCTACTAAAACATCGTACACTCCTTTTCGTAAATCTTGTATAATTTCTATGCGATCAAGTGTATCAACATCCGAATGAATGTATCGACTCTTCACTCCCACCTTTTCCAAGTATTTCTGAAGTTCTTCGGCCATTCTCTTAGTTAAAGTTGTTGCTAAAACTCGTTCGTTTTTAGCAACAGTTTGATGGACTTCCTCTAACAAATCATCAATTTGATTTTTACTAGGCCTTACTTCTATTTTAGGATCTAATAATCCTGTCGGACGAATCAATTGCTCTACAAATACACCTTCAGATTTTTCCAGCTCATAATCTGCTGGAGTAGCTGACACATAAAGAGTTTGTTTAGTAATGGATTCAAACTCTTCAAATTTCAAAGGTCTATTATCCATAGCTGAAGGTAATCTAAAGCCGTATTCAACTAGGTTAATCTTTCTAGATCTATCGCCTCCATACATGGCTCTAATTTGAGGTAGGGTTACATGACTTTCGTCTATCACCATCATAAAGTCATCAGGGAAATAATCTAATAAACAGAAAGGCCTAGACCCTGGAACACGACCATCAAAATAACGAGAATAATTTTCTATCCCAGAACAATATCCTAATTCTCTTATCATTTCCAAATCCAGTGTCACTCTCTCTTCCAATCGTTTAGCTTCTAAATGTTGTCCTCCAGCTTTAAAAGCCTCTACTCTAGACACCATGTCTTCCTGTATTTCATGAATAGCCCCTTGAATAGTCTCTTTTGAAGTCACAAAAATATTAGCAGGGTATATACTGTATTCAGAAAATTTTTCAATTCTTCGTGCAGAATCAGTCTCTATTGTCTCTATTGTTTCTATTTCATCCCCCCAAAAACTAATTCTTAAAGAAAAATCAGCATAAGGTAAATTAATGTCCACCGTGTCCCCTTTAACTCGAAAAGTTCCTCTTTCAAAATCCAACCCTGCTCTGGAGTATAAATTATCTACCAATTGAGCTAAAAAAGTATTTCGAGTTACTACCAAACCAGCTTTAATCTCCAAAATACTATCCTTGAAATTTGTTGGATTTCCAATCCCATAAATACAAGAAACGGAAGAAACTACTATTACATCTTTACGACCAGACAACAGAGCCGAAGTGGCTCTTAGCCTCAGCTTTTCTATCTCATCATTAATAGATAAATCTTTCTCTATATACGTTCCCGTTGTAGGCAAATAAGCTTCAGGCTGATAATAATCGTAATACGAAACAAAATATTCTACTCGATTTTCAGGAAAAAAATTAGAAAACTCTTCAAATAATTGAGCTGCTAGAGTCTTATTATGTGAGAGAACCAAGGTCGGTTTGTTTGTTTCCTGAATAACATTAGCTACCGTAAAAGTCTTTCCTGATCCTGTTACTCCCAAAAGCACTTGACTTTCCACTCCATCGTTAACCCCCTCTACTAATTCTCTAATTGCATTAGGTTGGTCTCCAGTTGGCTTAAAGTCTGATACTAGTTTAAATTTCATGCTTCGAATGGAAATTAATGGGTTAATTCTTTAAAAATATTTTCTAGCTTTTGAGTCTCTTTTTGCAAAGACAAAATCAACATTCCTTTACTCGCAGCAAATTTCGAAATTTCAACACGTAAATCTTCTGATTCATTTGAAATTATTTCCCAATTATTTCCTCCCAATTGTGCTACCTTATTCACCCCAGAAATTGCTTTCAATTCAGATTTAGAAACCGGTTTATCAAATTCGACTTTTACAATTTGTTGGCTCGAGTTGGATTTCATTATTTGACTTGCATCTTTATCAACCAATAAATTTCCTCTATTTATAATCACTATCCGATCACAAATAGCCTCTACTTCTTGCATAATATGAGACGAAAACATAACTGTCTTTTCTTTTCCAATTTGTTTAATGACCTCTCTTATGTCAGCCAATTGATTTGGATCTAATCCACTAGTTGGTTCGTCCAAAATAAGAACATTAGGATCATGGATTAAGGCTTGTGCCAATCCTACCCTTTGCTTATAACCTTTAGACAACTGACCTATTTTCTTTCCTTGTTCTAATCCCAGTCCCACTAAATCAATTACGTTAGACACCTTATCCTTCTTTTTACTTAATTTATGGACACCTGCAATAAAAGTTAAGTACTCTTTCACATACATGTCTAAATACAGAGGGTTATGTTCTGGTAAATACCCTACTTTTTTTCTTATCTCTAAGGAGTCTTCTAGCACGTCATATCCATCTACAATGACTGTTCCAGAAGTTGGTGGAATATAACAAGTAATAATTTTCATCAGAGTTGACTTTCCAGCACCGTTAGGTCCTAAAAAACCTAAAATCTCCCCTTGGTTAACTGTAAAAGAAACGTCATTTAACGCCTTCTGCAAACCGTACTCTTTCGTTACATTTTTTATTTCTATCGACATGGCGATTCATTTGTTGAATTTTAATCATTAAAAATAAGGAAAATTAAAGAACCAATCAGGATATTGGAATTTTAATTTGTAAGGATTTAACTACCTTTGAAAAACTAAAAACCCATTTGAAAAAAGGACTCGTCATAAAATCTACAGGAAGTTGGTATTCGGTAAAAATCGAACACGGAGAAGTAATCAATTGCCGAATTAAAGGGAAGTTTAGACTAAAGGGAATTAAAACCACTAATCCTGTAACAGTAGGTGATGTAGTAATGATCGAAATCCAAGAAGATGAAAATGGGTTGATTTATGAAATTGAACCAAGAAAGAATTACATCATTCGAAAGTCAGTTAATTTATCAAAAAGAACGCATATCATTGCTTCTAACATCGATTTAGCTTTTTTGGTCATTACAATTAATCATCCCAAAACTTACACAAACTTCATCGATCGATTTTTAGTCTCTGCAGAAGCCTACAACATCCCTACAACGCTTGTCTTTAACAAAATAGATTTATTGACAGCTGAAGAAACTTCTGAAATGGAAGAGTTAATTAGCATCTACTCTAACATTGGATATCATTGCATCAAAACCTCTGCTCATAAAAACATAAATGTCGAATTAATTAAATCGGAAATGACTGGAAAAACTTCTGTTTTTTCTGGAAACTCAGGGGTTGGAAAATCTTCCCTAATCAACCTAATTGATGGAAAATTGAATATAAAAACAAGTGACATTTCCGACTCTCATAATCAAGGTAAACACACGACTACTTTCGCTGAAATGCACGAGTTAGACTTTGGTGGTCATATTATTGACACTCCTGGAATCAAAGGGTTAGGAATTGTGGACATTGAAAAAGAAGTCATCCACCATTATTTTCCTGAAATGCTAGCTATCATGAATGAATGTAAATTTAATAACTGCGTTCATGTTAACGAACCAAAATGTGCCGTTAAACTAGCCTTGAAAGAAGGAAATATATCCGAACTAAGGTATCAAAACTATTTAAATCTTTATCACGAAGACAGTGAAAGTGGATTTAGAGAAAATCTATACGAACCTAAATAATCAGTAACCTATTTTTATCTATGAGGACTTTAATTCAGAGAGTTTTGGATGCTTCTGTAACAATTGACAACAAAGTTTATTCTGAAATTAATCAGGGAATCTTGATATTGATAGGAATAGAGAATGAAGATACAGAAGAAGATATTGATTGGCAAATAAAGAAAATAACTAATCTGCGTATTTTCAATGATGAGGAAGGAAAAATGAATTTATCACTTTCAGAAATTAATGGAGAGATTATGGTGGTTAGCCAATTTACACTATTTGCTTCTACCAAAAAAGGAAATAGGCCCTCTTTCATTCGATCTGCCAACCCTAATGTAGCTATTCCTCTGTATGACTTGTTCATTAACAAACTGAATCAAGCATTACCCAACCAAATAAAAACAGGAATCTTCGGATCAGACATGAAAGTTAATCTTACTAATGATGGACCTGTTACCATTTGGTTAGACACAAAAAACAAAGAGTAGAAAAACCCTTAATTTCTATCAATTACATCAATAAACTCTTTAGTCTGGATTTATTTTAAAGTAACAACATGAATTAGTCAAACTTTTTTCTTTTTTCTTTCCTACGAAGATGCAAATTCATGCGTTTACCAAAATATAACTCTACGACAGAATAATCGGAACTAAAAGAGCTTTGAGTAAAGTCTTGTTTTGTATTAGTTCCAAGTAAAATCATTCCTCCAAAGTAGGTGTCATTATCATAGCCAAGCACTATTCTATAGTCAAAACCAAAGAAAATTGAACGAGACAAATTAGAAACACTGTCTTTATCATTTCTTTCCTGAAACAAACGATCTTTATTAAAGTACAAAGCTGGTGACATATGGGCAGACAAATGCCAATTTTTGTGAAACACCCAGGTATACATATAACCTACCTTAATTCCTAAGTTGATATCCAGTACTTTTTGTTTTTTAACTTCATCACTAAAAGCTGTATCCAAAGTGGAAGGTATAAGAGATGAATCAGCTGTCACCCCTGAAATAAAAAAATTAGTTCCTACAGTAAAAGAACCAGCGCTCTTCAGTTGTTTCTCAAAATACAAAAAAGAAGATCGGTAAGATACTTTTTTATTATTAAAAATATAGAAGAATGTTCCTTGAAGGATATAATCTGAAATATCTGCTCGAAAAGGGTAATTGTCGTTATGTTCAAACCAATCTCCTGGAATTGTAGGGTCATCTTTAAAAAAACCCTGATACTGTTGGTACATAATGGAAAGTCTGAACTTTCTTCTACTCATCCCATAAAAGATATTAAAATTACTTCCCTTTCTATCTGCTTTGCTTTGTAAGGGAAATGCATAACTAAATGTCATCCATTTATAATCAAATCCAAATCCAAAATACAACGGGGAATTAGGAGAATAGTTAACCCAAGCCTCACTATTATCTATGTGACTAAAATAAAGATTGTGGTTTTTTACATTTGAAAATGTATAAGGATAAAAATTTTGTGTGAACTCCTTGAGGTAAAGCGTATCATAATCTTTTCTATCTTTCTGCCCCAAGGCAGAAAAAGAATACACACACACTATTAATATCCAAAATATTCTCATCTAAATTTTGCTATACGTAATGAAAGAAAATGAGTACTGATGCTTTTCATCTTTCGGATGAAAAATTTCACTTGTTTTCTTCCACTTTTTCTTATCATAGTCAGGAAAGAACACATCAGCCTCAAACTCATGATGCACGTATGTTATGTATAACTTATCGATTAAATCCAATTCCAAAGAGTGCTTATATATTTGCCCTCCTCCAATAATGAACGCTTCTTCCTCTTTATTATTTTTGGCAATTACAAGCCCCTCTTCAATAGAATTCACCACCAAACAACCTTCTGCATGAAAAGCCTTATTTCTAGTCACAACTATATTCTCCCTATTAGGTAAAGGTCTATATTTATCAGGAATTGAGTCATAATTCATTCTTCCCATAATCACATGATGTCCTTTTGTAATTTCAGAAAAATAACGTAAATCATCCCTTAAATGCCAAATCAAATCGTTGTCTTTTCCAATAGCTTCATTCTCAGCTTTTGCTACAATTAAAGATACTTTCATTTCGTTATAGTTATTGTAATTTATCTAGCCCTTCTTCAATTCGTTTAAATATAGCCTCAATATTATCCACATTTGCAGTTCCAACTGACAACCTATACCAAGTAGAATCTCGATCCGTTCCAAAAGAGTAGAATGGTACTATTCCCAGTTTAGTTTCATTCAAAATATACTGTGTGATTTGAGAAGTAGTTGTTATCATTTCACCTTCTGCTGTTTTCTTACCTATCAAATCAAACTTCACAGTCAAATAAATCGCTGCCTGAGGAGCAATCACATCTACTGAATATCCTTTCCCTTTAAGCAATAAAAAGCCTTCATAAAACTTATTAAGCCGAAGCTCTATGTTAGACTTTATCTCACTTAGGTATGAATTTACTGCTTCTTTGTTTTTCAAATAATTGGCAACAGCTATCTGTTCAGCTTTGGGTGCCCAAGCACCTACATGTCCTAAAATAGATTTCATTTTATTAATAACGGCTTGGGGACCAAACCCCCAACCAACTCTCACCCCTGTTGCTGCAAAGGCTTTTGACAATCCATCTATGTATATCGTGTAATCCTTTAATTCAGGGAATAAATTTACTGGAGAGGTATGAGAAGTTTCTCCATAAGTCAATAACCAATATATTTGATCAAATAAAATATATAAAGGTTTTACTCCAGCTATTTTTCTCTTTTTATTCTCTTCCAAAATCAGTTCACAAATACCCTTCAATTGTTCCACTGAGAAAACAGTTCCAGTAGGATTTAGAGGAGAGCATAAAGCTATCATCGTTAAATCTGAGATATAAGGTTTGATTTCTTGAGCAGTTGGCATAAAATTATTCTCAGCCACTGTCTCGATGATAATTTGTTGGGCAGCTGTTAAATGAGAGTAATGATTATTATTCCAAGAAGGAACAGGAAACAACACTTTGTCTTCGGGGTCGATTAGCGCTCTGTAAGCTGCATAAATAAGTGGTCTGGCCCCACCAGCTATTAATAACTCATCTGCAGAATAGGTTAATTCTTCTCTTTCTTTCAGAAATTCTGAGACTGATTCTCTTAATTCCACCATCCCATTAGCAGCTGGATAATTAGTGACATCATCTTGATAGCAATTAATTATTTCCTCTTTCAATTCTTTAGGAATTGGGAAAAAACCTGGATTAAAATCACCAATCGTCAAATTAGAAATAGGTTCTCCACCCGCTATTTTTGCCTTTATTTCTCCTGCTAATTTGATGATTTCTGAACCCACCAATTTATCTGCCATTTCTGACACTAATGCTCTATCCATTCTTGTTTTTTTTCTAATAAAATTTATAAGCACAAATATAAGAAAAGAATAGAGGTTAAAAGCATGAACGACTGGGTAAAGAATTTTTACAAATCGACTTTTAAAACAAACTGATTAACCTGTCAAATTAATCACCCAAACGGGATAAGTTATTTAACCTGAAATCTCATCCTATCTAGTTATTTTAGTATATTTGCAACCTATTTTACATGAAGGAAAATCATACAACCAATGAGCTTAGAATTATCTGAACAAGAACTTATAAGGAGAGAAACCCTAGACAAATTAAATAACATAGGAATTGAAGCATACCCAGCTGCTTTATTTCCTGTTAACACACTTTCAACAGAAGTAAAAGAGAACTACGAAGAAGGAAAGAAAGTTGTTGTGGCTGGAAGATTAATGAGTAAAAACATAATGGGAAAAGCCTCTTTTTCTTCCATCCAAGATTCTGCTGGAAGAGTACAAGCTTACTTCAATAGAGATGTATTATGTCCTAATGAAGACAAGACTCTCTACAACGAAGTCTATAAAAAAATGCTTGATATAGGAGATTTTGTGGGACTAGAAGGGACTCTATTTACAACAAAGGTTGGCGAAAAATCAATCCATGTAGAAAAGATGACTCTTTTGAGTAAGTCATTAAAACCTCTTCCTTTGCCTAAAACAGACAGCGAAGGAAAAGTGCATGATGCCTTTACAAATCCTGAATTAAGATACCGTCAACGGTATGTTGATTTAGTTGTTAATCCACACGTTAAAGAAGTATTTGTCAAAAGAACAAAAATGTTTAATGCAATGCGTTCCTTTTTTAATGAAGCAGGTTATTTTGAAGTCGAGACTCCTATCCTTCAGCCTATTGCTGGGGGAGCAGCAGCTAGGCCTTTTATCACTCACCATAACAGCTTAGACATTCCATTATACATGAGAATTGCCAATGAATTGTACCTGAAAAGGTTAATTGTAGGTGGGTTTGATGGGGTCTATGAGTTCTCTAAAAACTTCAGAAATGAAGGAATGGATAGAACTCACAATCCTGAATTTACTGCAATGGAAATCTATGTAGCTTACAAAGACTACAATTGGATGATGGATTTTACTGAGAAGCTATTGGAACATGTAGCTATAGCCGTAAACGATACAACAAAGGCTACTTTTAATGAACACAGCATTGACTTTAAGGCTCCCTACAAAAGAGTCACAATGCGTCAATCAATTATTGATTTCACTGGGTTTGACATCAAAGGAAAATCCGAAGATGAATTGAGAGTAGCAGCCAAAAGCATGGGAATCGATGTGGATGAGACAATGGGAAAAGGAAAGTTGATCGATGAGATATTTGGTGAAAAATGTGAAGGAAATTACATTCAACCTACGTTTATTACTGATTACCCAAAAGAAATGTCTCCACTATGTAAAGTTCATCGTGAAGACCCCGAATTAACTGAGAGGTTTGAGCTAATGGTTTGCGGAAAAGAAATTGCAAACGCCTACAGTGAGCTTAATGACCCCATTGACCAAAGACAACGATTTGAAGAACAGTTGAAACTAGCTGAACGAGGAGACGATGAAGCTGGTCAGTTTATTGATAATGATTTCTTGAGAGCTTTAGAATATGGTATGCCTCCAACTTCAGGACTTGGGATTGGGATGGATAGACTCATTATGTTCTTAACTGACAATCCATCGATTCAAGAAGTATTATTCTTCCCTCAGATGAGGCCTGAGACCAAAAAGAAAAAATTAGAATTAGCCGAAAACGAAAAAGTTATTTTTGACTTGATTAAAGAAAAAAAATCTATGGAACTCGGTATCCTTAAGGAGGCTACTGGCCTCAGCAACAAACAATGGGATAAAGGAATGAAATCTTTAGGAAAAATGGGATTAGTAAAAGTTACTAAAACTGACGACTCACTCACTGTAGATTACACAGCAAATTAATGGAAGAACAAGAACACACAGATCTTAATAATGAAGATTTGAGAGACATGCTAACGCATATCCTTCAAACAAACTGGAAAGTTGTAGAAGTAAAAGAAGACCTCAACCCAGTTGAGTATGAATGGTATGTATCTACTATCATCAAAATATTTGAAAAAGGTAAACACACGCTGGATGTGGGGAATTTTTTAATGGAACAAGAAACTAAACTCCTTGAAAAAAGTGGAGACAGAGATAAAAATCATGATATAGCGAACAAATTAAGCTTTGCTTATCATAAATTGAACACTAAAAATTGGGACGAATAAAACTTATATAAGTGCAGCTTCTCGGTTATATTTTTTTCTGTAATCCAAAGGAGTCAATCCAGTATACTTTCTAAAAATATTTCTGAACGACTTTTGGTCGTTATAACCCACCTCAAACATTACATTGTTGATCGAGTCAGCTGAAGATTCCAAACTCTTTTTAGCTGCTTCAATCTTTACTCTTTGAATATATTCAATCGGTGTATTTGAAGTTGCCTTTTTAAATCTTCGGACAAAATTTCTTCTGCTAAGTGCAAATTTCATTGCTAACTCTTCTACATTAATTTTCTCTTTAAAGTGCTCTTCTATATAGCTTTGCGCACTCTTTATGGGTTGATCCATGTGGTCTTTTTGACCATTAAAGATTGTAAATTGATTTTGATTGTCTCTATCTATTTCAATCTCAAATAGCTTAGAACAAAAAATAGCCACTTCCCTACCTGAATATTTTTCAACTAGGTGCAATAGCAAGTTTAAAAAAGAATAAGCACCTCCACTGGAATAAATCCCATTGTCCTCACAAATAACTTTCTCACTTTGTAAATTTATTTGAGGATACCTATTTCTAAAAGCATCTGCAACCACCCAATGGGTAGAACAAGATTTTCCATTCAACAAGCCTGTCTCAGCTAATAGGAATGCACCTGCGCATAAACTAGCAATTTCCGCATTGTTTTCCATTCTTTGCTTTTTCATCCAAGGTACAAATGCAGCATTATCCTTCAGTTCTTTCTCCATATCACCTATGATCGTTGTGATGATAATCAAATCTGTTTTCTCTACTTCACTGATATTCTTGGTTGGTTTTACATTGAAATGCCCTTGATATAAATTGGTCTCATCTGTTAAGCCTACTAAATCAATGTCAAAACAATCCTTTTCATCCCTCCCACTCATCACAAGGTATTCATTAACTTTATTGAAAACTTTGTAAGCCCCTACAATAGAACTAAGAACTGATTCTCCTACCGGAACTAAAATACTAACGTGTTTCATACTTATTATTTTACAACAAAAATAACCAATATTGTTGTCCTAAACAACCCTTCAGGTTGTCGTAAATACACCCCTCTAGTGTCATTAAAAGGAAATAAATTTGTTTAATTATTAACCAAAACTAAAATAACAATGAAAGATTACTTATTATTAATGAGAGGCGGAGACGCAAGAATGGCTGATCTAAATGAAGCTCAAACAGCTGAACACATGCAAAAATGGGGTGCTTACATGGAAGGATTATCAAAAAGCGGAAACCTAGCAGGCGGACAACCTTTAACCCAAGAAGGTAGAGTATTAACTGCAGATAATGTTACCGAAGATGTCGTTCTTTCCGATAAGAAAGAGGCTATTGGAGGCTACCTGATGATTAAAGCAAAAGATTATAACCAAGCTGTAGAAATAGCTAAGGATTGTCCAATTTTTGAACACAATGGAAACATCGAAATTAGAGAGGTAATGGAGATGTAATTCCATACATCATCAAAATTGACACCTTATTATCAATTAGAGTGTGGAGGAAGAATTTGACTTCTCTCCACACATTTTATGAGAACACATGAAAATTATACGAGTAACTTATACCGTTCAACCAACTTATGTTGAACAAAATAAACAAAATATTAGGCAAGTTATGGATGACTTAAAAGAACTAGGAAATCCCAATACTAAATACGCTTCCTACCTAGAGGAAGATGGAGTGACTTTTATGCATTTTGCGCAATATCCTGATGAAGAAACTTCTAAAATTTTAACCACATTACCCTCATTTAGTAAATTCAGGAAAGAACTAAAAGAGAGTCAACCAGTTACCCCTCCAAAGAGCATGAATTTATCGTTAGTTGGAGCAGGATTTGAATTATTTAATTAAAAACTAACATTATGAAATCAGTACTACACACTTTTCACATTGAAGCCCCCTTTGAAACAGTCTATCATTCATTATCTTCCATTGAAGGACTTTCTAACTGGTGGACCAAAGATACCTCTGGCAGTTGCAATATTGGAGATACTATCACCTTTAAATTTGGCGAATTTGCCATGCATAAGAAAGTCATTGAATCCAAAGTAAATGAAATTGTTGAATGGGAATGCTTAGAAGGAAATCCCGATTGGAAAGATACTCTTATTAAATTCACATTGAGTGAAAATGACAATAAAGTAAAAGTTGAGTTTTCTCACATTGGATTTAATGATAACTATCAAGAATTACCTAATATCAATTTTACATGGGGAAGATTTCTCGTAAGTCTACGAAATTTATGCGAAACTGGGAAAGGAAATCCATACATACACAGCTAACCTATAAACAAATTCGACATGGAATTTACATTAACTACTACTATTTTAGCACCAGCAGAAGAAATTTATTCCGCTTGGTTGTCAAGCAAAAAACATACGTTAATGACGGGAGGAATTGCTGTATGTTCTGACAAAGAAGGAAGAGAATTTACCGCATGGGATGGGTATATTCAAGGAGTAAATGTAAAACTGATTCCATACAAGAAAATCATACAATCATGGAGAACAGATGAATTTAAAGAAGAGGAAACTAATTCTCAAATTGAATTATCATTAGTAGAAAAAGATGACAGAACAGAATTAACTATACTACATACTAACTTGCCCAAAGATGGTGAACACTACAAGAAAGGATGGGAAGAACACTATTTCATCCCTATGAAAACCTACTTTTCTTAAGTAGATGCTAAAAAACTTAAAAAAGTATCAATAAATAATCTGTATTTTTGTGATTAATTAATAAATCAAAATTTAAAACATGAAACAATTAATCTTAATCTTATCTGCTACGGTTTTTTTTATTGCCTGTGGAACTGAAACTGATTCTAACTGTGAAAAGGATTGTGAAAAAGCTTGTTGCACTGAGAATGAAAATAGCCAAGATTGCAAAAAAGATTGTGAGAAAAAATGCTGTGCCCATGAACAAGGTGACATGGAAATTGGAGCTATGAATCCTTCTCTTGATACTAAACTAAAGGATATTTCTGGATCCGAAATGTATATTGAAGAATTGGCTAAAAAGAACGGCACCTTGATAATTTTCTCTTGCAATACTTGTCCTTTTGTTGTAGGAAATGGAGAAAAATCTGAAGGATGGCAAAATAGGTATAATGATATCCAAGCAATGACCAATGAATTAGAAATTGGTTTTGCGCTGATCAATTCCAATGAAGCTAAAAGGGATAATGAAGATTCATTTGACAACATGGTAAGTCATGCTATGGATAACAAATATGCAAGTATCAAATACTTAGTAGATGTAGAGCATAAAGTAGCAGATGCTTTCAACGCAAAAACAACTCCTCATGTCTTCCTTTTCGATGGTGAGCACAAATTAGTATATACAGGAGCTATTGATGACAATGTTGATAGAAAATCTGAGGTAAAAGAACATTGGCTGTCAGACGCAATGAAAGCCTTAGCCAATGGAGAAAAAATTCAAAAAGAAGTTACTAAAAATATTGGGTGTAGTATTAAAAGAGTAAAAAAATAACCCTTCTTACAACAAAATTAAAAGTCCTGAATTCAGGACTTTTTTTTGGACTAATAAAAGGAAATGGCTAATAAAATCGTCCAAAACATGTAAATTACTCTCATGAAAAAGTTCTTAGTCCTGATGTTAATTTCCTCTTGGATCAGTCCAGTTATTGGCCAAAACAATGTTGACAGTATTATATTCGACCCACAATTTCAACTTAAAACCTTGGAATTAGGGAAAGAATATTACACCTATAATGATACGATTGTATTTAAAAAAGTTAAATTCTATATCTCCGATATAAAATTTGTTAGGAATGATTCTGTTCTCTTTTCTTTACCTAAAAAACATTATTTAATCGATCTTGAAAATCCTGCTTCAACAAACATCTCATACTCAAGGCCTATTGATATCAAAAACTGTTTAATGCATTTTAACATCGGGGTTGACAGTTTGACAAATAGTGCTGGAGCATTAGGAGGAGATTTAGATCCTACTAATGGAATGTATTGGACCTGGCAAAGCGGCTATATTAACATTAAATTAGAAGGATTTTCTAATCGTAGCCAATCAAGAAATCATTATTTTCAATTTCATGTGGGGGGTTACAGAGCCCCTTTTTCCACCATCCAGCCAGTTGAGTTAGAACTCAACTCTTCTCAACATAGCCAAATAATTATTTCCTTGGATAACATTATCAACTCAATAGATTGGAAAACACAATCTAAGATCATGCAACCAAATGAAAAAGCAGTGAATTTTGCTCAAATTTTTGCTCAAAACTGTAATCTCTCCAATGTCAAAAAATAACATTTTTATCGTTATCCTCGGCTTTCTTGCAGTTAGCTTTATGCTCAGCAAAGCACCTATTAAGCTTCCTCAACATTTTCCTCAACCTCATTATAACTTTAATCAATCCCCTTTAGATTCAGCGAAAATAGAAATTGGAAGAGCCCTATTCTATGATCCCATCTTATCAAAAGACGGAACCATCTCTTGTGCTTCCTGCCATTCTCCTTACAATGGATTTGCTCATACTGACCATTCATTAAGCCATGGAATAAATGATAGCACTGGTACTAGAAATGCTCCTGCTTTATTCAATTTGGCTTGGCAAAATACTTTTATGTGGGATGGAGCTATCAACAACATTGAAGTACAAGCTTTGGCTCCAATAAATCACAATGGGGAAATGGGTGAATCCACAAAGAATGTAGTCAAGAAACTTAATGAATCTCCTCTTTATCAGAAATTATTTCTAGATGGGTTTGGAACAAACCAAATCACTGGGCAGTTAATGCTCAAAGCAATTGCACAATTTCAACTCTCATTGATTTCTGCCAATGCCAAATACGATAAAGTAAAACTTGGAAAAGTCTCCTTTACCAAGCAAGAAAAAAACGGGTACTCCCTGTTTAAACAACACTGTAATGCCTGCCATACTGAACCTCTTTTTTCCACCTATCAATTTAAAAATAATGGTCTCCCAATTGATTCCACTCTCAACGATTATGGGCGAGGTTCTGTTAATGGTCAAAAAAAAGACAGCTTATCATTTAAAATTCCTAGTTTAAGAAATCTAAGCTATACCTTTCCGTATATGCATGATGGTAGGTTTAACAAACTCCAAGAAGTATTAACTCACTATACGAATGGGATAAAGGACTCCCCTTCCCTATCAGGAAAACTTTCACCTTCTCTGTCGCTCACTTCAGATGAAAGAATAGACCTAATAGCTTTTCTAAAAACTTTGGATGACAAATCATTTATTTTCAATAAAAAAAATAAATTCCCTCGAGAAATCTTACTCCCAAAAGAAGGAAATAATTAAAATCCTCGTCAAACTCACATACTCCATTAATTAAAAGCGTCATGAGAAAAGCTATCCTTATATTTATCTCACTAAGTATATCATTAGTAAGCTATAATCAAACAAATTCTGCAATAACTAGTTGGTTGCAAAACACTACAATTTTAGGAACTTATTATGTCTCTGGTAATTCCACTGCATTATCAAACAACATTTTAGTGAATTGTCAAGAGGTGTCTTACTCAACTAATTGGGTATATGTAAAAACAAAAGGAATACCTTCCTATCCTACAGGCCCCTTTCTCGATGGAAATCCTTCCACTGCCAGTGATCAAAATGCTATTTATAAATTCCCTTTAAATCCAACAGAAAACACAGGAACCAAATCACCTACAACAGGAGGAAATATTGGAGTTTTTGTTAATGGAGTCTCTCTCTTCGATTATCGGGATGGTGTAGCTTGGAATAACACTACAAGTTCATTATGTGGAGGCCCTGGAAATCCACCTTGTCCGGGGGGACCATCTACTACTCAAAATTGGAATAGAGATGCTATCCCAGCGGAAAAAGGTGGATTTGACTGTTCCAAAGGTCACCCTGCGATGGGTAATTATCATCACCACCAAAATCCTAGTGCATTTAAACTAGATAAAGTAGTAATCTCTACTATCTGTAATTTATATGATGCAGATGGATTATACACCATCGACACCAATGCACACTCTCCTCTTATTGGTTTTGCCTATGATGGATACCCAATTTATGGAGCATACGCTTATGCCGATACTAATGGAACAGGTGGTATTGTCAGGATGAAATCCGGATATCAACTTAGAAGTATTACTACAAGAAGTCTAGGCCCAGCAGTAAACTCAACCTATTTTCTTGGCTATTTCAGAGAAGATTATGAATTCATTGCCCATCCATCTGATAGAAGTTATTTAGATGAACACAATGGAAGGTGGTGTAAAACTCCTGAATATCCCAACGGAACCTATGCATACTTTGCTACTGTAGATGCTAATCACAATTCAGCTTATCCCTATGCCGTTGGACCAACTTTCTATGGAAATGTAACCGCATCAAAGGTTAGCTCCATTACCGAAACTGTAACCATATTTAATAACCCAGTATCAATTTCAAAAAATGATTTTGACAACCTAAATATTAACGTATTTCCTAATCCTGCTTCAGATTTAATCGCTATTCAATTTAATAATCTAGTTCAATATGATTTCGACATTCAATTATACGACATGAATGGAAAACTCATCAAAGAATCAATAATCAATAAAGGACAAACCATTTCTTATTTTGATATTGAAACAGTATATGCTGGAATTTATCTGGTGAAAATTTCTAACAACAACAATGTGAAGACATTTAAAGTGGTCGTAGAAAAATAATTCCATCTTCAACATATCATTAAAGCCTCGATTAGCTCGAGGCTTTTTCTTTTATTTAGTATTTTCAAGGCATGAAACCATTCTTTACCTATATAGCCTTTGGATTATTCCTTGTCTCTTGTGATTGTTATAAAGTAGCCACAGGAAAAGTAGTAGATAAAACTACTCAAAAACCTATTTCTGGAGTTAAAGTCTGCTTAAGCGACCAACCCTCAACTTTTTCCTATACTGACTCTACTGGGAGTTACGAAATTTATTACATAAAAACTGGATTAAGTTGCTATACAAGAGTTAAAAAGAAAGTGATTGCCGAAAAAAAAGGATATAAAAAGTCTACTGAAATGTCTACTCAAAATTCCATTGAATTAATTACTGATACTTTAAAGATGAAAACCCTTTAATCAAACTCTCAATTTATAACTAGTTCTATTGAAAACAAACACTTTAAACAAGCTAATTACTTTGATAGGAACTCTTGCCTTTCTTATAGGGACCTTATTTAGGATACAACATTGGCCATATGGCAAACTGATGTTTTATGGTGGATTATCTTTAATGACCATCTCGATAATTGTGGATATATATCTAGGGTACGTAAAGAAAAATTAATCTCCATGTTTTTTCTATTCTCATTCTAACATTTTGTACTTTTAAGTAACCAAAATTTAAGAATGAAAATAGAAATTATCTCCATTGGAGACGAACTACTTATAGGTCAGACGATCAATACAAATGCCTCTTGGATGGGGAAGGAATTAGCCAAGATTGGCATCAAGAATAACCGAACAACTACTATTAGTGATACTCATAATGAAATATGGGAAGCGCTTTCCATAGCTGAATCTCGTTCTGATTTGATTCTAATTACTGGAGGACTTGGCCCAACAAAAGATGATATTACCAAAAAAGTTTTGTGCGAATACTTCGACACAACATTAATCTTACATCAAGAAGTTTTAACTGATATCCAAGCTTATTTTGAAGCAAGGAATAAACCTTTTTTAGAAGTAAACCATTTACAGGCAATGCTTCCTGAAAAGGCTTCCGTATTAAGGAACCATGTGGGTACTGCTTCTGGAATGTGGTTCGAAAGAAATGGAAAAGTATTTGTTTCAATGCCTGGTGTTCCCTATGAAATGAAACACCTTATGGAGACTGGAGTTTTACCTAAAGTAAAAGAAAAATTTCAACTCAATGAATTAGCTCACCGAACTGTACTAACACATGGAATTGGAGAATCGTATTTGGCTGAAATTATTACTGATTGGGAGAATCGACTCAGAGATTCTGGACTTGACATGGCCTACCTACCTTCACCAGGGTTAGTAAAGTTGAGAGTCACTTCTACTCAAGGTGACTTAAATCAAGTGAATTCGTTTTGTGATGAGTTGTATGAATTAGTCCCTGAATATATTTTTGGCGAAGGAGTTATCACTCTACCTGAAGTCTTAGCCAACCTATTGAAAGATCAAAACAAAACCCTTTCATTAGCTGAAAGTTGTACCGGTGGTTTTGCTTCACACTTATTAACAAAAATCCCAGGGAGTTCTGTTTTTTACGAAGGAAGTATCATTTGTTATTCCTACGAAATAAAGGAAAATGAGCTGAATGTCCCACATGAATTATTATTAAAAAAAGGAGCGGTAAGTAAAGAAGTAGTTGAAATATTAAGCGAGGAAATACGAAAAAAATACAATACCGATTATGCCATCTCTATCTCAGGAATTGCAGGTCCTACTGGCGGAACAGAAGACAAACCCGTTGGGACAGTTTGGATCTCAGCAAGAAGCAAAGAAAAGATAATCTCAAAGCGGTTTAATTTTGGTAATAACCGTGAAAGAAACATTACACAGTCAGCGTTAGCTGGTTTTAACATGCTTCGCAAACTAATTTTAGAAGAACTATAACCCTCTTTTACTTGATTCCTATGAGTAATCCATACCAGGCTCTTTTTAAGAGTCAACAAGATTTTTTTACTAACGAACTAAAAAATTCCTCGTTAAAGAATCGCTTGGCCAAGTTGAGAGCAATAAAGAAATGGATTAAAAAAAATGAATCGAGAATTTGTGAAGAAATTTTCAAGGATTTTCAAAAAGGCGCTGAAGAAGTACTCTTGACAGAGATCAAACCCATTGTAGATGAAATCAATCATTACCTATCTCATTTAGAACAGTGGGTTCGTCCCACATTAGTTTCCACTCCATTGACTTTTTGGGGAACTCGTTCTCAAGTGAGAATTGAACCTAAAGGAGTTTCACTAATTATTGCACCATGGAATTATCCATTTAATTTATGTATTGGCCCATTAGTCTCAGCTATTGGTGCAGGATGTACTGCTATCATAAAGCCCTCTGAACACACTCCTCATACTGCGAATTTAATTCAAAACATGATCAATGAATTATTTATTGAAAAGGAAGTAGCAGTTATCCAAGGAGAAGTAAAAGTATCAGAGGAAGTATTAAAACTACCTTTTGACCACATCTTTTTTACTGGGAGTCCTCAAGTTGGAAAAATCATCATGAAAGCAGCTGCCGAAAACCTAAGTTCCGTGACTCTAGAATTAGGAGGAAGAAATCCTGCCCTTGTAGATGAAACAGCTAATTTGAAAGACGCTGCTCAAAAAATTGTTTGGGGTAAATTTTTAAACAGTGGACAAACATGCATTGCCCCTAATTATGTATACGTTCACCAAACTCAAGCTAAAAAACTGGAAGAAGAAATCATCCAACAAATAAAAATCCAAGCACCTAAGGAAATCCTTGATTTCACCAAAATTGTTAACTCCTCGCACTATTCTCGGCTAGTCAGATTATTGAATCAAACGCTAAAAGCTGGTGGAAACATAGCCTATGGTGGAGATAAAAACGAGGCATTTAACTTCCTCTCTCCAACCATACTTAATGAAACAACTATTGATTCCCCTATTTTTCAAGAAGAAATATTTGGCCCTCTTTTACCTATTATCACCTATCAAAACCTTGAAGAAGCAGTCCAGATTATTAATCAAACTGAAAAACCTTTAGCCTTGTATCTATTTAGTAAGTCTAAAAAAAATCAACAATACATTATTAAGAATACAAGTGCTGGAACGACAGCCATCAATGAAACTACCATTCAATTTGCTCAACCTTACCTCCCTTTTGGTGGAGTCAACCACAGCGGAATTGGAAAAGCTCATGGTAAACATGGCTTTTTAGAATTCTCAAATCAAAGAGCTATCCTCAAACAACGAGTTGGGTTTACTATTCTTAAACTCATTTTTCCTCCCTACACTAATTTCAAAAAGAAAGTGATTCGATTTATCACCTTCAAGCTTTAAGAATACTTTTGATAAAAACAATTATTATTAGGAAATAAAGCATTAAAAATTCCCAAATCCTCAATAATAAAATGTATCTTTGCATGCAATTAAAGAAAAACCAACGGCTATGTTAAATTCTAAAATTGTGCAGGAAGGACTCACTTACGATGATGTCCTTTTAATCCCAGCTTACTCCAATTACGTACTCCCAAATACGGTTATTTTGGATAGTAAGATTACTCAAAACATTTCAATTAAAACTCCTATCTTATCCGCTGCTATGGATACGGTTACGGAATCTGCTTTGGCTATTGCTATCGCTCAACAAGGAGGTATGGGAATTATTCATAAGAACATGACCGCTGTTGAACAAGCGAAAGAAGTACGAAAAGTTAAAAGGTCTGAAAGTGGAATGATTACAGATCCAGTGACATTGAAATCTAATGCTACAGTAGGAGACGCTTTAAACTTAATGGCTGAATTTAAAATTGGTGGGATTCCAATTGTAGATGATCAATTAACTCTGAAAGGAATTGTCACTAACCGTGATCTAAGGTTTGAAAAAAACCGAAATAAAAAAATTGTTGAAGTAATGACTGCTGAAAACTTAGTCACAGCAATCAATGAGATTTCTTTGGTAGAAGCAGAAAAAATATTACAACAACACAAAATTGAAAAACTCTTAATCGTTGACGAGTCCAATAAATTGACTGGATTAATTACTTACAGAGATATTATTAAAGTAAAAAAACACCCTAACTCTTGTAAAGATGCTCACGGAAGGCTTAGAGTGGGAGCTGCCGTAGGTGTCACAAATGACACTCTTGAAAGGACTACTGCGTTAGTTGAAGCAGGGGTTGATGCAATCGTAATTGATACTGCTCATGGACACTCTCAAGGGGTCATTGATAAGTTAAAGCTTGTTAAACAAGCTTTTCCTGAACTTGAAGTCATTGTAGGAAACATTGCCACGGCTGCTGCTGCTAGAATGCTTGTTGATAATGGGGCTGATGCCGTAAAAGTTGGAATAGGACCTGGTTCAATTTGTACAACTAGGATTATTGCTGGAGTCGGTGTTCCACAATTATCAGCTATTATGGATGTTGCAGAAGAATTAAAAGGAAGTGGTATTCCTATCATTGCAGATGGAGGAATTCGATTTACTGGAGACATTGTAAAAGCCATTGCAGCAGGAGCTAGCTCGGTAATGCTAGGTTCTATGTTTGCTGGTGTGGAAGAATCTCCTGGCGAAACGGTTATTTATCAAGGAAGAAAATTCAAGACATACCGAGGGATGGGCTCTTTAGAAGCTATGAAAAAAGGATCAAAAGATCGCTATTTTCAAGATTCACAAAATGACGATAGAAAATTAGTCCCAGAAGGAATTTCTGGTCGAGTTCCCTTTAAAGGAAACTTAGGAGAGGTAATGCACCAACTAATTGGTGGACTTCGTTCTGGAATGGGATACTGTGGTGCTAAAGACATAGAAGCGCTTAAAGACGCAAAATTTATCAAAATCACTGCTGCTAGTATTCAAGAAAGTCATCCTCATGATGTTACAATTACTCGAGAAGCTCCTAATTATAGTCTTAAATAGAGTTTAATAGTTCTTAAAAATACACTAAATTAGTGATCGCATTTTTAACCAAAAAAAATATCAGTAAATACAAACTATGAAAAAGTTAGCGTTAGTTACCCTTTTATCACTTCTGTTTTGCACATTCTCTTTGAGCCAAGACAACCCAATAATTTTAAAAATTGATGGTAAAGAAATAAGAAAAGATGAATTTCTTTTTAGTTACACCAAGAATAACAACAACGTTAAGTACGACAAAGAAACCTTGGATAAATACGTAGAAATGTATATCAAATTCAAGATGAAAGTAGCTGAAGCTGAAGAACTTGGATATGATACTATTCAACGATTAAAAAATGAATTGAATGGTTACAAGAAAAAATCTGCTGAAAAATATTTAACTGATTCTGAAGCAACAGAAGCACTTAAAAAAGAGGCTTACGAACGTAAAAAAACGGAAATTAAAGCAAGTCATATCTTATTCATGGGAGGAGACGCTTATAAAAAAGCATTGGAAGTTAGAAAAGAAATCCTAAAATCTGGCGATTTTGAAGCAGCCGCTATTAAATATTCACAAGATCCTTCTGTCTCTGAAAACAAAGGTAGCTTAGGTTATTTCAGTGTATTTCAAATGGTATACCCATTTGAAGAAGCAGCTTATAATTTAAAAGTGGGAGAAATTTCTATGCCTGTCAAAACCCAATTTGGTTATCACCTAGTTAAGGTATACGACAAAAGATTAAATCCTGGAAGAGTTAAAGTAGCTCATATCTATTCTAAAATCCCTAAACAAGCAACAGAAAAACAACAAGCAGATGCAAAGGTTAAAATTGATGAGATTTACCAGTTGATTAAAAGTGGAAAATCTTCTTTTGAAGAACTTGCTAAACAATATTCTGATGATAATACCTCCGCTCAAAAAGGGGGCGAACTACCTTGGTTTACTTCTGGTCGAATGGTTCCTGAATTTGAAAATATTGCATACGCACTTAAAGATAAAGGCGATATTTCCGAACCATTTCTTACTTCATACGGTTGGCACATTGTAAAAAAATTAGACCAAGAACCTATTGGAAGTTATGATCAACTTAAAGCCGAAATAGAGGGAAATATTAAACGAGGAGCCCGAAGTAAAAAATCTCAAGAATATTTCGTAGAAAAATTAAAAGACAGCCTAAAATTTAGAGATAAGTCAAAATCTTGGATAAAAAATTCATACAGCGAAGAAGCTGAAGGAAACTTGGATGTAAAAGATAGCAAAACAGCTTTTAAACTCAAAAAACAAAAAGGTTGGTTCAAGAAAAAAACAAAAGTATCTGTTAAAGAATTCAAAGATTATCTTAAAACAAGAAAACCTCATTCTCAACAAGACGTTGAGATTTTCTATAAAGATTTTGTTACCAAGTACATGATGGATTATGAAAAGTCTATGCTGTACACTAACTATCCAGAATACAAAGCTCTGATGCAAGAATTTAAAGATGGGATCCTGTTATTTGAAATTTCAGACCAAAAGGTTTGGAAAAAATCGAGTGAAGATACTACTGGACTTAAACAATTCTTTGAAACCAATAAAAGCAATTATACTTGGGACAAAAGGTATGACGTTGAAATATTTACCTCTAGTAAAAAAGAGGCGATCTTCAAAGCGATCTCTCTAGCCAGAGACTCTGGAAAATCTGCTCAAGACATTTTAACTATTGTCAATCAAGAATCTCAACTTAATTTATCCATTCAAAAAGGAAAGTATGAATTAGAAAGCAAAGCTATCCTAAAGAAGTTTCCAGAAAAAGTGGGAGTTTCTGACCCTATTATTGAAAATGGACAATTCGTCTTTATCCGTATCATTGAAGTACTCCCACCTCAACCTAAAAAATTAAATGAAACCAGGGGAGCTGCCATTTCTGATTATCAAAAGTATTTAGAAGAAGAATGGATAAAAAGCCTAAAAGAAAAATACAAGGTAGAAATTAATGAAGAAGCCTTATATTCGTTAAATAATTAATAACCAACAAAAAAAAGAACAATGACTAAAACATTCAAATTAATCTCAATTTTGTTTGCTTCCATGTTGATTTTTGGAACTTCATGCAGTAAATATGAGAACGGACCTAAACTATCCCTAAGGTCTAAAAAAGCAAGGTTAGTAAATACCTGGGAATTAACGGAATCTAAAGATGGAGATACTGACATCTCTGAATTCAGTAAAGGAGCTACTATTAAGATTAACAAAGATGGAACTTATGAAACCGGAGGAACAACTAAATTAGGTGCTGTTACTGCGGTAAAAGGAAAATGGGAATTTAGTTCGGACAAAACAAAGGTGATTTATACTGAAGACGGACAAACTGCCGCTGATAAATGGACAATTACTAAACTAAAAAATGATGAGCTTTGGCTTGAAAAAGACCAAGCAAACAACACTAAAGCAACTGCTAAGTATAAAGGATTAGATTAATCCTTCTATTTAAATTTAAAAAAGCGACTTAAAATTAAGTCGCTTTTTTTTGCTTCTTGGTTTACTAAAATCTAAATCCTGCAGTAACCATAAAATTGTGAGTCGTTTTCTTTAACTGAGCCGCATTCACATACAAAGGATCGTACAAATAATTATCCTCTTTAACAGTTGACTGAAGGTAGGTAAGGTCTAAAGAAAAACTCTTATTTTTATACCCGATTCCTCCAGACATATTTGTTCTTGCTCCATCTGTTAATGTTTCATCCTTTTTAAAAGGAGATTGATAAAATGCGTACCCTCCTCTTAAGGTCCAATGATTGGATACACGGAATTCAGCCCCAGCTTTATAAATAGAAGCTCCTCGGTATATGTTAGAGGTAGTGGTATTCTCTTTGTTAAAGTCATATGAATCTCCTGATTCTAAAGCTCTATTCAATTTAGCATTTCCGTAATCTACAAATTCATACTCCAACGAAATAAATCCTCTTTTCTTGTATAAGAATGCTGCACTCGCCATCACTCTTCCAGGAGTCTTTAATCTATAGTCAAAACTTCCTTGGGGAGAGTTTTTTCTGGTGTCATAATCGTTATTTCTAAAATTAGAAATAAATGTAGTTGTGTATTGATCATTCATCGAATACCAAGTAGGTGTGTGAACAGCTAATCCAAGCCTAATTGATTTTACAGGCAAATAAATAACCCCTAATTTCATATTAAACCCTGTTCCTTCTGTTCTTATTTCTTCCTCAAATGAATAATCTTCTAAATCATAAACTGTATCCCCGTTAAATTTCTCCGTATAAGTAGAAGAATAATTATACCGAATTCTAGGAAAACCAATGCTTCCCCCTACATACAACTTCCCGTCATAATTTCCACTAAAAGTAATGTCAGTTTGATATTGAGCACCTCGAGTGGTAATCGACTTAGATTGGTCAATATTTCCATTTGCAGTGTCATACCAAGGTGAAAAAATTTGATTGATAGTATCATAATTTAACAAGTAAGTATCGTAAGCTAACCCTTCATAAAAATCTGAAACTTCAGACAACTTGATTCCATTAGAATTTAAATAATTAGAATAAGACAGGAGCATCGAGTTATCGTGATTCCCTTCTATTTTTGTATTACTATGAAAATCGTTGGTTCTGGAAGAAGTTACTCCAAATTGGATATATCGCCACATAGTAGGCCTCTCAAAACTAATAGGCTTTACAAATACTATTCCTAGGTTACTGATATTAAAGTTTCCCTTATTTGCCTCTACAGCATTATTGTTATAAAGACTTGAGGTAGTAGAAAAAGTCACATCACTTGTAAAGCTAAAGTCAGAACGACTATATCTTCCCATTCCTGCCGGGTTGAGTGTGACTGAACTCATGTCAGCTCCTAAAGCTCCCATAGCCCCTCCTAATCCAGCAAACCTTGCAGTTCCATTGTAATTAAGATAACTATATCTTAGGGCATCAGTTTCGTTTTGAGAATAGCTAAAATTAGCCAATAGAATCCCCAAAAAGATGGTTACAAATCTTTTCATTATTTAAATTTTTAATAGTAAATTAAGTACGGTTTATCTTCTCCCTCCTCTTGAACTTCTTGAAGAACCTCCAGAACTTCTACTTGGCGAAGAACCTCTAGAAGATCTTGAACTTCCTGAACTTCTACTCGGTGTTGAGGTTCTAGCAGGAGTAGACCTTCTGCTTGGAGTTCTCGTTCTACTTGGGGTTGATGTTCTACTAGGTGTATAACTTCTCGTTGGTCTGGAAGTTCGAGTAGGAGTTGATCTACTTGGAGTTCTTGTTCTACTTGGAGTATAAGTTCTCCTAGGAGTTGATGTTCTCGTCCTCGCAGGTGAAGTACTTCTTGGAGAAGTATTAATCGTAGGTCTAGTCGAAGTTCTTCTAGGAGCAGAACCAACAGTTGGTCTGGAAGGCTGTCCAACAGAAGTTCTCTGTGGCCTAGAAGTAGTAGGCCTAGTTACTGTTGTTCTTGTACGTGGCGAAGTAGACGCTGTACGAGCAGGTGTAGAAGTATTTCTACTTTGAGTAGATGGTACTGTTCTTGGCGCTCTAGAAGAGGAAGAACTTGTTGAAGTCGTTCTCGGACTTGAAGTTGTTCTTGCTGTATTTCTTTCAGGAGAACTCGCTGAGATACTGGTTCTACTAGGTCTAGTTGGTCTAGTTCCTGTTGAAGCTGCTCCTGTTCTGGCAGTTCCTCTAACGTTTGACTCTACTGAATTAACAGAAGGTCTAGACGATTTCAAAGACCTACCCTCAGATTGACGCCCAGCATATGTTGATGGAGCTGAATTAACTGCTACAGCAGAAGGATTAGTTCTTGATCCTGCTGATCTTCTTCTATCTCCATACACAGATGAAGACCTTGACCCTGTTCCTCTGCTCCCTCTACGTCCATAATAATATCCTCTACTGTCTCCATTTGAGGCATAAACTCCATCTCTGAATCCTTGGTTATATGCAAATCCATTATTCCAACCATTTCTGTATCCATAACCTCCCCAAGCCATTCCATAAGGATTGTTATAATATGGATTCCAATGATT